GCATGTTTACTGCAGATATTTTGGATCTACTAACTATGCTCTACTCAATCCCTTGAGCGGATGGCCGGCTCGAAGCAACCCCCCGTGTCTGGCACACCAACACTGGAGATGGGACCCATTCGCAGCAGGAGCAAGCACGACATCCTTTCGATGAAGGAGCACGAATCTGCAGTCAATTGGCCAACACCTATTAAGGCCAGCAGACATGGTCCGACCAGCATCTTTGCTCGTCGTGCAGCTTTGCCGACTATGTCCCTGGGCAAGCCCCTTCGCGAACCCAATCGGACCTAGTATGACCCGATCATATCTTGGTGGACCCACGGCAGAAGCTGCGGCTAATTGCAGCATGTGAAACCAGGTAGGCGTGTGGCCTGGAGCAAATCCACTTACAACAACACTCACCCAGAGAGTCTCGAAGTTTCCCCCACCACTTGCGCAGAGGGGTAGAAATAGGCACACGAGCCTTGCCTGCGAAAACTGACCTGTAGAGCGAGATCAGATCTCATGACCCTCAACATGGGCAGCAGCCATCATGCTCAAAACAGCATCTGGGTCCGGCATTGGGCCTTTAGCTTTCACAAAGGTGCTGTTCAATCTTTGAAGCGCCAAGCCGTTGACGATGTTTTTCTGTTGGCAAAGATGGCTCGCGACTACGGATACTGTACAGGGAAACTCGGCTTTTGAGTCTCAAATTAGTCCCTGGTTCGCCTTGCGCAGTGAAAAAAACTCAGGGTTTAGAGCTTAAGGGGGGTGTGGTGCACGTAGCCGCCTTATGGGTTACTTGGGCTCTCGAGGATTTGGAAATCGGAGAGGATCCAGGATCTCAGGGCCTCATTGGAGAGTGGCTCTGGGAGCGGCGGCGGCCTGGAGTCGCACCTGTGCAACATTGGTCTTCAGCAAGCTCATCTGCGCCCACATGCGATCTCTCCTCTGCGATCTTTGAGCTCCGCGCGATCACTCCCCGACGCTGGGGACGGGGAATCCAACCTGCAAAGCTCGCTGTCACAGCATTCGTCTCGCTTGTCGACCCCGAACCCTAAAGCTAACCCTAAACCCTAAACATCCCTAAACCCTAAACCCTCGAGGGCCCGGGCCTCACCGACGGCCGCCTGCTCCCTTGCGCCTCCGCTGTAACGCCCAGGAGGGTGTCCTTGGTTAGGGTTGAGGGTTTTACCGCGGCTCCACACGCACAGAGTACTTGCACTTGCACTTACACCTACACTTGCAGTTACACTTGCACTGTCACTTATACCACTTATACCAATTACATTACTTACACTACTTGCACTACTTACATGTCTTACATGTCTCACATGTCTTACATGTCTTACACTTGCACTTGCACTTGCACTTATGCACTTGCACTTGCACTTGCACTTACACTTGCACTTACACTTGCACTTACACTCTTACTTGTGCTGATGGTAAATGTTGGTCGAGGCACAGTACTTCCACCACGGTGTGCCACGTCAGCACCCGCTTTGTGATGGCTCTTTCCCCTGGCTGGGTGAACAATGTGAAGGGATGCTGACATGACACAGTGGTGTTGAAACTGGCCGTCGGTGCTGTGGAGAGGTTTGCTGTCCGGAGCCGAGCGCCATTGAGCTCAAGGCAATGGAGGCCTTGCGGGGCACAGAAAGTGAGTTCGCCAGGCTTGAAGCGACACCGAGCCGAACCGTGCCCGAAGGTCCGGGATCCCTGGCGTCATGGGCGTCATGGCCGTGGGTGTCCGCAGGCCTGGGCCGGGTTTCATGGCCACGACGGCACTGGCTTCAAGATTGAAAGCATTGCAGACGTCCCAAGGCCAATCCGGGGCCCTCTGAGGCGCCGGCTTCTGATGCACCCGCGCAATGGTCTGCGAGGCGGCCTCGCGAACCTGCATGGCTTCCAGCCGCTCCTGAGCCAGGTTTCGAGGTCTGGGGTCTACGTCCGGAGCTTGGCTTGCTGAAGGTTTGAATGTCTTTTGTTGCGATCATTTGGTACGCCCTGTCCGCCTTGGTAGCAACTCTTCATGCTTTTGTTACCGTTGCTCAATGATGGCTTGAGTTGTAAGCGAACTCAAAATTCCCCAATGATGCTCGTCTTCCCCGCTTGGGCAAAGGGCGGGGGTGGACGTTTTCCTGTCTTCCCCAAAACTTCTGAGATTGAGTAGGGTCACGCCAAGAACCCCCCCAGCAAGCCCACAAAGGAGACCGACACAAAGACCAGACGGCAACCTCGGGGCCCCAATTTCACCCTTGCGGCTCCTCCAGGAGTGTCTGCACTGCGGCCTTGCACGAAAGGGTAAGAGAGCACAAATCACAAGTACCCCCCCCATAGTACCAAAAAAGAAGAGACAGCCCCCCAATGTCGACCAGGGTTCTCCTACATCACATGTAAGGAATGTGTCTGTATTTACCTATAATCCATGTCTTCATCTATATCCCTACAGAAGCATAGCTGAGCTGCACGAGTCCTTGTACCCACACGCGAAACAAGGAGGCCTCCACTTTTGGCACGGCCGCCCCCTGTTTCGGACGGACCTGCAAGGCAAAAGTCAGCAAAGGCCCTTGTGAACTCCACCGAAGGCCCAGCGTGCTCCCGCGAGCCTTGCCGCGACTAACGACCCCTGCATCTGGCCGAGCAACCTCGCAGTGCTTGGGGGCTTTTTGTTGCGGGATATGGTGGGCAAAAAGGGTTCCACAGGGTGTTCCAGGGTGCCGGCCCACTTGTTCAGCTGCAGATCCCACTCCCGCCAGTTCTTCCTGGCTGCATCTGGGGTGCTGACAATGAACGCTCCGGAAACCCCTTTTCATGAATCGCCGTCACCAGATCATCGGCAAAATGCGGAGCACCAGCATCAAACACCGGCATCACCAAACAAGAAACGAGGGGGGTGGAATTTCGAAAACTTCTCTGCTCCTGATAAATTGAACAAATTCTCTACTTCTTTCTACTCTGCTTTTCCAGGATAGCACAAGAAGGGTGGGATTTACACTTTCTCTCCTGACGTAGAAAGGAGCTCACCACCAAAAAAAAAGCAGCAGCTTCTACAAGCCAGCGTAGACAGTAACAATTTGCTTAGCTTGCGTTTTGGAAGCCAGTGGAGAGCCTGGAGAACTGCAGCCACCTTTCCATGGGAAAGATTATTGATTTTTGCGTTCAAAAATCAACAGAATCATCATCATCACCATCGCCAAAGAGTGGACATGACCGCCCATCGCCCTCCTCCTCCTCCTCCTCCTCCTCCTCCTCCTCCTCCTCCTCCTCCTCCTCCTCCTCCTCCTCCTCCTGCTGCCCATCGTGGCCATCGTGAACATCATTCACTGCATCATCATCTGAGAAGTCTGGGCAGGCAGGCCAGACACTTAAGTTCGATTGTACATTACCTGGGTCCTTTTGTTTGCTGGCTTGGCGCTCTTGGCCCTTTTGTTTTGGGCACTTGGCTTCCACAAAACGTCGCCACTTGGGGTACTTGGTGCTTGCCGCGACCGCGAAGCCTCACAAGTTACCAGGGCTCATTCGTTTCAGATTTTCGTGCGGAAGCTTTACATGTCATGCTGCATCGCATGGGAGAGCGTCTTCGTCATCCTCGATGCCGCGGCTGCTGCTGAACCCTTGCGTCTTCTTGTCGCTCGTCCTCAATGTTCCCGCGTGCTTGATTTTAGTTTTGTTACCTGCAGTGAGATTTTTTTGAAGCCGATGGGCATGCCGACTGTGAGACGGTGTCTGTTTCTCGCCACAGGGCGACCCTTTTTCCCTTCTTGCCATGGCTGGCACACCTTCGTTGACGGGACTTGGGCTTGCACTTGGGGTGGAACACGCCTCCACGCAAAGAAAACATGATAAGCAAGACATTTTTTTTCAGAGCCCTCCGGCATGCCACGCACGCGGCTGTCAAGTTTTACAAAGGGGAGGACAGGGCGCGTGCACCGCCGAGGGGTGCTTGGAATTTTACATGTCAGCATCCAGAACTGTCGACAGCGACGTGAACACCACGAGTGCGAGGGGAACCGAAAGTAAGGATTTATCGTCGCAGGGGAGTCGTGTGAAGAAAGGAAGTGGGCGAGTATGACCGAGCTTCAAAACCCACGAGGGATCATGATTTTGGATATGGCACGACTTGATTCCTCCAGGAGCGCTAGCCCTGAAGATTTCAAGGGACCTCGCGCGAGCCCCCAACAACCCCATGGAATTTCAGCTAGGGATCCCACAAAAAAAACTCACCCTCGACGACCTTCAACATTAGCCCTCTGCCGCCTCAAAGAGCCCTAAGCCCAAAAGCCCCAGTCTCCATCTTCTTCTGCGTCTGGACTGTGGAAGCAACAGGCGGGCTAATATATATACAGGGGAGCCTAGGGACAGGAGTGCTCCGTGCAGGGTTTCACGCAGCTTCAACGGGCAAGCTGCCGTTGTGCGGGCTGCTTCTCATCGGATTCCAGCCACAGCTCGAACCTGAGAACAAATCACGCTCTCCCTTTGAAACAGACCCTAAAACCCTACCCTAAACCCTAAACCTCCCTACACCCGAAACCCCTTGCTCACAGCTCCCGAGCTCCCTACCCTGTAGGGCTGTGTGCCACCCCATTGCTCTTCGCATCCTTCCAAGCGCCGGGGGTGTGAAACTCCGCTGCTGAGTTCAGGTAGGATGCAGAAACGGCAGAAACCAGCATGCTCGGCTGAAGGTCCTTCACGGCCTGAAAACGCCTTGCCTTTGCAATGCCCCAGGTGTTCGTGCTAACACCTTGTGCAGAAAACACAGAGATGCGTGGGAACACGCCTGATGTGAGAACGCTGAAATCACCACTCCAGCAACGAGATGCCGATCAAAGGGCAGGCGGCAGCAGGCAACGGCCCGGCACGCTTTTCTCAAAACTCGCTCCGGGTCCGTGGGTGCATACAGGCTTCGATTCGATTCAAGCTAAAAGGTAGGGGTCAAGAAAGTGAAGCAGGCGTGTTCTTATCAACGGCGCTATTCCGGATTCGATCACAAAAAGGCGCATGCCTCCTCACCGAAAGCACTACAGCCCCTGCCCCATCCATGGCGCAAACCAGAGTCGCTGTTCCTCGGGTCTCTTCAGAATCAAAAGCTAGGAACTTGCAGATGAGCTGTGCATTGCTATGAATGACAGCGTATAAGCCGATTGCCATGTGCAAGTTAGCCCCATGGGAAAGTACAACCAGAACATCTCCAGGCATCCCCTTCATGATCTGCACGGCCGGCTGTGCGGCCGCGACCACCGACGAAGCGGCCTTCCTGTCAGGGAGGGTGGAGGGAGGGAGGGTGGGAAGGAGAGAAAGAGAGACAGAGAGAGAGAGAGAAAAGGAGTGTCATGGAGCGTCTTGGAGTCTTCAACAACCGCCGCGTTGTTTCGCACGCTCATTCTTCGCATGGAGGATCAAGTCTATCTTTGAGCGTGGCCTAGCCATGCAAGTCACGGATGCCTCTTCTGCACCTGGCCCGGGAGTCACCTGAGCGAATAGCCATGGCCATGTTATCACCTGGAATGACAGCCTTACCGCGTGAAAGCACAGCGACTTCACACCCCCGATATACTTGCGAAAGCCAACTCCGACAAGCTGCCAAGTTCGCCAGGTCAGGCGGTAACCGGTGATCGTAACCACGCTTCTGGCACAAAGAAGGCAGAGGCTACTAAAAAATAAGGTTTACCTGGGCTTAAACAACTTCGGCTCCCTCACGCGCAAATCCTCCTACAAGCACATGGAGAAGCAAAGGGCTGTGAGGTTAAAGCAGCCGCTCTTCCATGCCAGCATCATTTCGCCAAAGCCACAATGCACCCACACGATGGAAGTTCAACTGCCGCAGCCTTGAGCAAAATCTTCGAGCCCGGGCCTTCCATGGTTTGGCTCCGAGTTCGGCGGCTGCTGCGAAGCCCTCCGAAGCACGTGCCGCCGGTCGTGTGGGCAGCTCTTCTGGGACCTGGAGGGCGACACTCTGGTTGCGGAATTCGGAGTGTTTGCGGGTTTGTCCTGGTGTCTTGCTGTCGTAGTCCCTGTTCGTCGGTTTTGAAAGACATTATGCTGTAACTCAGAGTTTAAGAACAGGCTGGATGGCGACTATTTATGACTATATCGGACTCGATGGCGAGATCAATCATCTTGCATCTGGCAATTTCATGGAGAACTGCTGCCCCGCAGCATCAATGTCGCATCGTGCCCAGACGGAGCCGTCAGACCACCTTCGCACACATGCGCACATGGCTTCTTCAAGCAAAGAAGGCTCCCCAGGAGCAAGAACTTCTTGAATCATGTGGGGGGGCCTGATGAGGTCATCAGCCAGAGTGCCGACTCGGCCATACATCGTCAATTCGTTGCGCACCTGAGTTCCATTTTTGACACAGCAGCCCAAGGAACGAGAGACATGATATCTCACTCTGGGGCACGGCCATTCCGCAGCTGGACCCCCCATCTGCAGTCCGCTCCATCACAATGGAGCCGCTCTGCTCCTCATGGGCCACTGGAGACATGCGTGTCCATGACGCGGAGTGATATGCTGATGCCTTAAAGTCGCGAAGGCAATGCGTCAAACTACACTCCGCAGCTGTTGTTTGCATTTGCCCCGCCAGCACGAAGTCGATGCCAGTAGCATCCATCCAGGTGCCGGTAAAGTCATCGTTGCTCCCAGCTGGTCTGCTGTAGCTCGGAACCTGCAGCACAATGATGCGAACAGAGCCCGGTCGAAGATTGGCGGTGGTTACGCTGAGGGTTCTGTTTACTAGTGATTCGACTAGAACTGAGACTCTGACTTTGCTATGCTCTGCTATGCTCCGCTATGCTCCGCTATGCTCTGCTATGCTCTGCTATGCTCTGCTATGCTCTGCTATGCTCAGCTAAGCTCAGCTAAGCTTGCGGCATCTTGAGTGTGCGACTGCCGCTGACCGATCATGTTTGGGTTCTCGCGGGCCACGCGAGCCACTCGCGCGGCGAAGGTCGCTTCTGCAAAGCGCTCCGTCTGTTCTGGCGCAACGTATTCTGGCACTGGCTCTGGCATATCTGGCATGGGCGCCGACGATGGCTGCGATCGCTGCGATCTCGGTACGTTTGGCTGAGGTAGGATGGGCTCTTCTGGCGCGGCAAAGCCACGGTTTCGGGCCTTGCGGCGGGCTTTCTCTTGGGCCATGAGGCGCAGCCGCCTCTCATGTACCTCTGTCCGGTACTCGGGGGAGGGTTCCTGTATGTACATGAAGGCCGGATAAGGGTCAGGCGCCTTGGGAGTCGCTTCGCTGTGAGCTTCCTTCTTCGAACGGGCTAAGTTCGTGAAAGATCTCCACACCTCCTCAGGATCTTCAGGCTCCTCCTCTACCTCCTTCGCCGGCCGTCGTACTGGCGCTCTTGGAACCTCGTCGCGATCCAGGCTTTTCAGAAGCTGGTCCAGGGAGGGCATCTTCTCTTCAACTGCAGTGTTCACGACTGGGCTTACGCCAGCCGCCCGGAGCTCTGCCAATGTGCAGATCTCCACTAAAGGTCGCCCCGTCTTCGTGGAGCTGGAGATCCATCCCAGGGCGTGTGCACCTTGTAACACTTGAACTTGAAGCCGAAATCCAGCGCCGTGTGCTGCTCCGACCCTCAGAACCTTGCAGAAGCCCCCCTTCTGGAGCAAGGCAAGCTCCTTACCTCAGAGATGGGCTGACATCGGAACAGAGGGAAACATTGCTGAATTTGCTTAGCTCTTGCTTGCCGCACTTGCCTCAAAAAGCCAGCTACTTGCCTTCAAAAGGGCTTCCGACGAGCTCGCCTTCGCGAACGGCGATGCTGTCCAGTACTTGAACAAAGGCCCCCTGCAAGCGCCCGGCAGACAGCGCTTCTGGGGCCATGGCTGAAGGGCAAAACCTGCTCTGGAGCCTACAAATGCACTGCGACTTCTTGGACCGCTGTCAAGATGCCTTAATCTATCCTTGAGAGCCTTTCTAAACTTAAACAATCTCCACAAAATGGCGTATGAAACTTGGTGGTTGCTACCGTTTGCTGCTGGCAGTCGCTTGCCTTTTTCTGCCTACGCACAGAAAGAAGACCCGGCGTGATGGCGGCATGCGAAGCACCAGGGCGCTTTACAACTCCATTGCCATGACAGGCCCAGATGTGCCGGGCGGAGAGTTCAAGGGTAGCAGGACGAGGCAAGGACTGCGGTAGATGAAGTAGAGCCCGCTCGACGGCCAGTACGTCTCGCCTGGTCACAGACCCCACCGCGTCAAGGCGCAGAGCTGAGGCTCGATTCCTTTTGACTTGCGGGCGAGTGACGATCATTCACCTCAAGGAGCCAACAAAAGCATGCAGCGCGAATGCCCGCATGCCGGCATCACTGTCGTGTCAAGACCCGTCTGCAGCAATCACAGGAGACATCACAGGGCCAAGTGGGCCAAGAGGCTCGGTATTCAGGAGACGGGCGCTCCACGAACAAGGCATTGAGATGGGGGTTTTCGAACCCTCCTCAGAGTCCACCGGAAAAGGCTTGCTGAGCATCTTAATTAAGTCTACGGTAAGCGATACATTCTCAACTTCTCGTAGCATGACCTGGCCAAGGTCCCTGCCGAGCTTGACGGCCTGGAAGAACTGCCGCCTCGGACGTTTTCGGGCTCGGGCCTTATCTAAAGGCTGGGACGAATCACTCAGCTTCCACTACACCCATTTAGGCTGGCAGAAGGCCAAGTGCGGACAAGAGCGAAACCCTCATTGAAGAACAAGTAGAAGAAATCTCAAGACATGTAAAGAAATCTCAAGAAATCAACGGGAAGGGCAAAACAACAACCAAGAAAGATTACAGAACTGATTAGACTACGTTGAAGGATAGGTTCCTGAGATTCAAATGCGACAGTGGGTGTACGACGTCCATGACCCTAACACCAAGCAGGATAGAAGAACGTGTCGAGTTCAGGGATACCAGTTGCCTCACTTGACATCTGGAACCGCACGGCACCCATGAGCTGGGCCCCACACGTGGAGCCCATGGCACCCATGAGGCTGCCAGCTGGCGAGTTGGGCATCCTGCGAAAAATCGCAGACTTTGTGGTGCCAAGATGATACCCCAAAAACCATGCTTTCTTTCTCCCGGTATAAAGAGCGACCCAAAGCCCTCGACCTGAAACCCTGAGCCCAAAAAAACCCTCTGCAGGAACTGCCTGCTCATGGGGGAAGCAGCGCCCGCCGGTGAGCCAGGGAAGGGCCTCATGCCACATGGGCCGACATCTTTTTGGATTCAGGGCTCATGATGTAGACTCTACAGAGTGCATCAGAAATGTGCTCAGTACATGATTCCCTGGATAGACGATACCGTGTCAGCGCAAAGGGAAGCATTGCCTTTTCAATGGTGGGACCCAGGCAAGCTGGGCACGCTTCCCATGCTCTCGTCAGTCGTTGTTTTGAGCAGCATGGGCTGCCTCTCCATTCCTTGGTTCGACAAGGACCATGTCTTCTCGCTGGCTGTTTCGAGAACCCTTTGTGGCCCACTATGCTCAGCGGTGCAGTGAGTGCCGTACTTTGCTGGTGCGTACCCGCTTCCACATCTTGCCTCAGCCGACTCCATCGCCGCCGACACAAATATATCCAGAACTTCTCTGGATTTGGGGGGGGGGTTCGATGGTGAGGTAGGAACCTGAGCCTTCCAGCAAGTCTCTGCTGGGCAGTTTCTCGGCGCGTGCACAAGCTGGCGTCAGGTCTGGCACAGAAAGACAGACAGGCATCCCAAGCCACGGCTTCGTGTCAGCCTGTAAATTGCCGTTCCGACCCTTGAGCCTTTGGCCAAAGGTACCATAAGGTACCGACGATCTACTCACCTACGGCTGCTGCCAAAGAACAAGCTAAAAACAAGCTACTGAGCTACCCAACATACCCAACATACCACCTGCTTGGTCACGAATCAGCTTTTTCGGGCAGCATGAAGTCCTAGACTTCCTCACAGCCATCTTGGCTACGAGGCAAAGCAGTGAAACCTCTTGTCACTTATCCACCTGGCATCATCTACGACAGCTGGGACTTGAAACGAACCGAACCTGACGTCACCAGTTCGTGCAGACAGCAATGGCCTTGACGTCAAGTCCCTGAGAATTCTCAAGTCCTCAACGGCATGCCCTTGCAACTCGAGATGCCTTCTGCCCGCAAGTTACGCAGCAGAGCACAGCGCTTTTTGGCCTGGCGGGGTCTTATCAGAACCCACGCGACATGCAGAGGCCACCGCAGCTCCTACGAGGTCCTACACTCTTCAAGAGCCTCTGGAGTTCGCGCGGATCTGCGCATTTCGCGGGCTTCCCCTTGCCCATCTTGCCTGAAACTGAAACGGCATCATGTAGCCACGCAGAGCCACTTACCTACCTGTGTGTGTGTGTGCTTTCATTTGGACACTCAAGAAGCATGCAAGGGTAGCTTCGCCGAGGTCGGGCACCTGAAGCGGTCCGCGGCCGAAGCAAGTAGCGATTGTGAGCCTGGGAGGCAGCAAGACTCCGCCAAAGCAAAAAAAGATGAAGCCGTTTTGTAGATACATGGTTTAGGAGCCAGACAAGGCTAGAACTAACCCATGGCTGCTACAGTTCCCCTACGTCAAGCTCAGACACCCCAAACAACAAACAACAACGGAATCTGCAACCTCGCAGCTGCATCCAGGCTCTCCGCAAAGAGATGCAGGCCTCGGCCAAGCAGAGGTTATGGCCCACGGCCATGGGTTCTTTGGTTGGTGCTCTTGGGGGATGTCAGACAGCTGCGATGCCTCAGAACCCCAAGACCGGGCATATGCAGGCAAGCTTCAAAAGCCCTTTTACCCTCAAACTTTTTGGGACGCGGGGGGCTTACGACAATGAGGGACCCCAAATATACACCCGCAATCGTATGATCCCCTTATCACAAGGACCCCAATAAGGTAACCCCCGAAAGTCCTTACCCCTCAACCCAGCCTTGGCGGCGTGCCACCGCCGCCGCCGAGGCCGGAGCGCTGCGCGGCCGAGGTTTTGGAGCTTCCTGGGGGCTTAGGGCTTAGGAGGGGTCCAGGGATGAGGGTTTAGGGTTTAGGGTTTAGGGCAGTTTAGGGATCGTTCTTGTTTGCCTAGGAGTCTGTACGACTGGCTATGTCTTTCCGGCTACAGCTACCAGATCTTGGCATCCATATACGACGAGGGGCGTGTGTTGTGCATGCTCATATAATAGAGATCGCATATCCTAGCCTGCCGACTATCCTTGGAGATTCTACAATCCTGATCCGCAGTTTGCCAGATCATACCAGATCGATTCACAAAACTACTATACTCACTATATACTCCGCTGCCTGGGCAGTCACAATCTCCGGCTGTTGACGAACGGCTGTGGCCGGCCGACGAAACCTGGGATGCTCAGATTGCTCAGATTGGCTTTGTTGGGGTGAGGGGCGTAACAGAAACCGGAAGGGAGCGTAACGGAAACCAGGCCGAACATCACTATCACAACAGAAGCCAAAAAAACTTGTAACGGAAAACAAGGCCGAAAACATGGAAACCAGACGCAAGGTGGGACGGAAACCAGGCAGATCTGGAACGGAAACCCAAAAGAGCTGTAACGGAAACCACGGAAACCTGCAAGCAGAACCACGGTCAAAAAGGTTGCAAGGGAGGACTGCCATCCCTCAAGCCCACACACAACCAAAAAGCGGCACTCTGAACCCGTGATCCTAGGCTTTGTGCTTTAGGCTTTCGTGTTCACAATTCAGGCTTTAGGGTTGTTGAGCCTGGAGCTGGTAACCCAGAATCACTCCTGCACGAGATTGTCCCACTCTTCGTTTGTCGTTTGTGCTAGCAGTGCCTAATCCTCGCCCTTGGTTTCTCTCTCTTGGTTTCTGCGAAGGCCAGGGTTTCCGGTTACGTCCGACCGTTGTTTTCTGTTCTGCTCCCATGTTGATGTCCACTACGCCCCACGGCAATTTCCGTCACAGGTTTCGGGCCAAGATTTCTGTTACTCGGCGCTGTCTCTGCATCACGGTGAACCAGCACATCTACAACCCACCGATTTCTGTAACAGACTTTACTTGCCTTACTGAGGATTGGGAAGCTCTAGCAAGCTGCTAGAGTAGGCAGGCGGCCCGGAGAATCTCGCTTTTCATAGAGGTTTCGGGATGCCCTAGTTTTTAAATTTTAACCCGAGGAGTCCAGCTTGAGGCACTTCTCCGCCATCTGCTGGCGATGACGCGCCAAGCGCTGGTCTCGCAGTCGACAGCGCTCAATCTCCGCCTCTGTGCATCTCCAAAGCGTATAAAGGTGTATAAAGGTGGGGGGGGGGGTCAGACTCAACAATTTCAGAAGGCCAGGACCCTCAAACACACCCTGAAAGATGTAGATCAACATGACAAGCCCTGCCACGGCCCTTGCGTCGAATGGGATGGTTGTGCACGAGGACCCTGTTGGCCTGCTTTGCTCTCTCCTGCTTTTCCTCTTCCTGCGCATACGATGGTCACAGCGTGTCACCCAACATCCAATTTGCAAGCCAACTTTGAACAGGGGATGCGCACAATCTGCGAGCCTCGGGTGTCTGGGTAGCATAAAGTCAAAAAGCAGGTACCCCACCTCTGAATCCCCCGCCTCGGATCCCCCCAACCCCAACTCCCCCCAACCCCAACTCCCCCCAACCCCAACCCCCCCTGTTCCCTCCCGCCTTTGCCCCGCCCGCCCTGCCCCCCCCACTTCCCCACCCCACTTCCCCACCCCGCCCTTCAACCCTACCTCCTCCTCTAATTTTCCGGCAGATGTTTTCTTGGTGCCTGGTCTATACATCGCCACATTTACCTGACTGGCTTTGCACACGTCCTGCTGCCGCAGCTGCCGCACCATCTCAGCCTGCACGACGAAGCAAGCCGGTCTTGACATGCCGAGACCAAGTGCCACCCGGGTGTGACGGCCCGTTTCTGGCTCCGGCATGCAATTCAGATTTCACATGTTCGGAATCTCTAAGGAGCTAAGATGACCTAAGCCGATTCCCAAATCGAAAGAAAAGTGCCTCGACAGCACGCCGCTTCCTCTCCGCAGCACCCACGCGAGCCTAGAAGCGCAATGGCAAGTAGCATTGGCAGCGGAGGGAAAGGTCGGAAAGGCACCTCAAAGGCCGCCATGGAGGCTGCCCGTGCTGCGGCTCGTTCCTGTTAACAGGAAGAGATGCGAGGAGCTTCGGGATCGCACGGAGGATGCCTTTGAACAATAGATGCAAAAGCGTGGGATTCGAGCAAACGTGCACCTGTTGCTCCGCAGCAAGTTCGAGCTCCTAGGTTGAAACTGGAAGTGCACCCCCCCCCCCCAATAGTGGTCTCTGGACGTGATAACTGCACGCACTCGGGCCTACGCGCTCCTGCTGCTTCATCAGCTTGGCCTTCGCGGCTTCTGCCAGCTGTTGCCGATACTGATGGCGCTGAATCCTCTCTGTGAGCTCCTGTGCCGGTGGGAGAGAAGCATCTCGGGAAAACTGAAATGGGGCTCAACACCAGCTTCGGAGTCCTCCACTTTCTGCACTCGCTCGGCAATCATATCCTCAATGATCGCCTGCCACAACAGAAACTCTACACCGTCACGGGCACAACCACATGCAGGTAGAGGAATGCAAAGCCTTACAAGCTTTCAGTGCATCGCGCAACGCTGCCCTCGCGTGCGTGGGGGTTGTTCCAACTTCGGGTCCCTGTCTAGGGTTCCTGGCCTTAGGTAGGTATACCAGGAACCTCAATAAACAACCCCCACATATTGATTCAATGATTCACAAGGTCCCGACGGCACATACTGTGCCAACAGAGGTGAAATCAAAAGTCGAAAAACACGTGCTTCTACAGCACACTGGATTGTCCAGCAACGCCTACTTCAGCTGCACACGTGAGCTCATGACGTGAAAAAGCGTGTCATGGGAACGCTTCTTTGCCGCTGGTGCGGCGGCCGCTGTACACAGCCATCAGACCTTCTTGTCGATCACGTTCGGCTCAACTGGAGCTTCAACCTGCGACGCCGCGCGCGCACAGGCACCAAGTATCGGATCCAGGGGCTATTGGTTGTAGGGAGCGGAGGCACCTAAGCACCCCCCTCATTCGTTTCGCATCACTTGCTCATTCATCATCGTCTCCTCATGAATCGCGTTCAAAGCCACAATTGTCAGCAACTGTCGTCTTGTCACCGCATCCGCTTCTAAGAGGCTCAACCCCCCCCCCCCCGCAAACAAGATTGCAAGCAAAAACGCAAGCTGCCTTGGGTTCCAAGATTGGCTTCTTCTCCTCTTGGCTGGGGGCCTCCATCATGGCCCTGAACCTGGTGGCAACATGTGCGAGAACAAACGGGGCCTCAAGCTCTATAACAGTTCTATAACACACCCTTTTAGCTCCGAAACGTCTAAGACATAACAACCTTGCAGTCTCCGAGGCACGACTTGTAGAACAGTGCTGAGAAGATGATCAGCAGACCCAGAATCTGCCACGCCGTCACCGGGTTGTGGTACTTCATCTTGGATGCGAAGCGAGCATCAACGTGAATCAGAAGCCCCGGTTGCCCCCTTGCAACTGCGGTTCTTCGTTAACAAAGTAGAAGCAGGAGTAGGAGTCGGAGTCGGAGTAGTAGTCGTAAGAGTAAGCAGGGATCCCTTCTCTCTTTGCCGCGCGGCATAGGAGACTAGGATGGACACCACCTGTCGCACATTCATCGTGGCAGCGAAGACCAGAGCCCCAAATTCCTTGATCTGAGAGTAGATGAAAAACCTCAGGAACATGGCAGGTGCAGTCACAGCGTAGTCAGGTTTATCAGGTTTGGACGACTGCCTTCAGGCAGCCCAGAAGGGTGAAAGAATCGCGGGGCAGGCTCCGGCTTCCCGTGCCAAGAGGCTGACTTCCCACAGCAGACGCACTCAGCAGCGCTGAATCCAGCCAGAATTGCCTCAGTGCAGCGAGCAAAGAACCGTAAAAGCGAGAGCTGCAACGACGCTTCAGGACATGCAAGTCTGGCTGGGACATGGCCGAAAAAATGCCCGAGGCATGTCCAAACTGAGAAAACCCATGCATTCGGCAGAGATTCGGGTGCTCAAAGCCAAAATTCATGGCGGGAACCAATTGGCCGGTGGCCTCGGCCCCCCGCACGCTACTCGCAGGGAAATGGATCGACGGGCTCACGACTGCTACGCTCACATGTCTGCCTGAACCCAGAAAGCTTGAGCTTGTTCCTGTCGCCTCCCTGGTGCCACAGCCATGTGAGCACATGTTTCTTCCTTCGCGCACGTCATGTCTGCAGGACTGCAGCACCTTGCGCTTTCAGCACCGACTGACTCAATGCAAAATACAGCAAGGCCGCACCCCTAGAACCGGACGACGTTGCACCACGCCCACTACACACTCATATCAGATTGTCGTCGAAGCCCCCCCACAAGATTTGCGTCACGTCTCCCACAAAGGCCGGCCATGAGTAGATTGCTGGCGGCTCATGCCAATGTACTCACTGGTTCGGGTGACTCTGATCTTTCGCCCGCCAGTGAAGCCTGTTGTGAACTTTGTCAGCCACTGCCGGCTTACGGCCCTGGACTTGTCCACCACAATGACCGGTATCGTGAACGGAGTCCCAACCAGAAGCCTCCAGAGCCGGAACGCGGCAAGGCGACGATTTCCCAGAGAGTAGAAGCGGTGCCGAAACCAGTAGACCTCGAGCCTGAACTGGGAGACGTCCAGCTCACCTTCAACGAGCGCCCTCACCATGTCGAGGATGGATGCAGCAGCCCCTGAGCTTGTTGCGATCGGCCTTCGGAACTTTGCCGAGCAGCATTCTTGGCTAAAGCCGACGTCCAAAGGGTCCAAGTGTCCTGGACCCAAAGGCAGCAGCGCCTGTGGAAAGGGTGGCTCGGGCTCGAGCTCCTCGCCGATGTTGTCTTCTTGCTCTCCCAGGTAGGCAGACTGCATGGCGACGACACCCCTGCGAGCTCGGAGCCGGACCGCTTGGATGGCATCCGCGACTTCCACAGCGCCCAAGTCGTGGCGCAGGACGAAGCTTACCTCCCTCATCAGCTCGTCGAGCCGACGAAGGGTTCGGACAACGATCCCCTCGCCGCCTACCGGCACCCGGCTCTGAAGCACGGCTTGGGTGAAATCGTCACCGCGGGCCCAGCGATACGCAGTTTCTACGAAGCTTGGGTTCACGCGGGCAGCGGCAAAGGCCACGCCGGTGCAAAACCCACACGTTGGCCAATCACATCGCTCGAAACATGGCAGCGAAAAGCTGTGGAGTCGGCAGGCCATTTTTTGGGCCACCCATTTGCAGGTCATGATGGCCTCTCTTACCTTCGCATCCGAAACATACCGCTCCCAATTGTCCGGATGCCGCCCCTCTGCAACAAAGCACGCGCAGACGGCAAAGATCTGGGCTGCGGTGAGCCCGGTGAAGCCACGGAGAGCCAGCACAACTTCGGACATCAGCAAACCGTCGTCTGGCACGAAGAAGTGGCAGGCAAGAGTACCTTTCGGAAGGGCCGAACACGAGGAGTCCACGAAGTTCATGGCCTGCGCGGCGGCTCAATGGCTGAACGCAAAAAAAGTGCGCAACACACACGCCTGTTGAGGATTCTTCGCGCAGTTCGGCAAGGTGCGACAAGCTGGCCTGCAAAGCTCGGGTTCTCCGCGCAGCCTCATCCTTGAGCTCCTCAGCCGCCAAGGGATCTGTATAGGAGAGCAAACTCTGCGTCAGCATTGAGTACAGATGCGCCGGCCCGGTGGAGATGAGATGGAGCAAGGACGACCAGCGAAGGCGGAAGCAACTGGACACCTGGGGTGCTCCAGAGGAGTACAAGCCTTCGAGGACCAGTTCTGCACGCTCCTCCATGATCTCAGAGCTGTGTAGCATCACGTAGACATGGCCTTTTGTGGGGCTACTTGACACCACCTTTCATTGAGGCTACACACGAAAACACTAAGCTGTGGCTAGAACTTTGCGGCCCGTGGCCTTGGGGGTCCTTCCCACGGCGGCCAGCTCGTCCTGCCATCTGCATAAACTCGCCCGCATTCAGTACACGACGTCGTTGCCCATCGAACTTCACCAAATCCATGAAGATCACAGACTTGGCCGGCATGTTCAAGCCGATGGCGAAGGTCTCCGTGGCAAAAACCACGGGCAGGAGGCTGAGTGAGTCCGCATGGACTGCCCAAAAATCTAGCTTCAACTACCTCCAAGAGGCATGGCTGTGGCCTTAACCCGCTAACCCGAGTTTTTCCTAGCAACCCGAGCGGTCCTCAGCAAAGAGAAGCTCCACCAACTCCCGGAGGATGGGCAGCATGCCGCTGTGGTGCACCCCGATGCCCCGCAGCAAGAGCTCGCGCGAGTGCCGAACTTGGGCCAGGCGCTGGTCGCCCTCCTGCACTTCGCAGATTTCGAAAAATGTTGCAGAACTTCCCCTGCCCCTCTTTAGAGACTTTAGAGGTGAATCCCGAACACACCGATCGTGGCCTCCAGCGAGGCCAAGCCTGCGTCCAGACGTTGCTTGATGGCTTGTCGGCTGGCGCGGGTTGCGAAGTCCAGGCGCTTGGCTCCTTTCGCAAAAGTGTCGGGGCGCCGTGGAAGCCAGACTGTTGCAAGACAACGCGGGGCACCGCAAGGCAACGCAATGCAACGCAATGCAACGCAAGGCAACGCAGTGCCATGTGCTACGTTGCGGAGTTGCGCCATGTGCCTGTCAGAAGCAGGGCGACTCGCTCGCACATTAGGCGATCGAAGCAGAATCCAATACCTTGCACAAGCGCCCAGCCCGAAGAAGACTGACAACGGAGGATGCGTGTCCGAGCAGGGGAGGAGCCAAGAACGAACCCCATGTCCAAGGTGCAGGGTAGCTGCCTGCGTGACCAGAGCAGGCCAAGAAGCCGATCCAAGTCCTGAGAAACTCTTCGTGGGCTTATTGGGCTTTTCTGCGACACGACATCCTGAAACCGAAACTCGGGGAGGACCTCCACGCGCATCTCATGCGGATCTCCGGTCAAGTCCCTCGGCGGCTTCGCATACCTTTGTTACACGTGTACACGAAAAAAAGTGTCCAGCAGTTTCGTGACGGCCGGGAAATGGCATGCTGTAGATCTCAAGAGCAACCAGTCCTGAGAAAGCATGATTACGTTGGATGCGACTGGAAGCACTGCTCCGGCACGCCCTGCTCCAGAAGCCAGCTCTCAATGTCGTCTCTCACGCCCCATTCAGCACGGCGGCTAGTGCCATTGCTCACCTGCACTTGAGTGGTCTCGGGCGAATGCACGAGGAGGCAATCCCGACCCCTTTTGTTTTCGTATGTTTTCGTCGCCAGGGGCGTGCTTGAGGTTCTTCATTTTGCACCTGCCTCATGCAGGAAGCCAGGCTTCGGATTCGTAACACTAGCTGTTGCAGGTCAAAGAAAGACACGAGCGTCACGAGACCCTCAACAGCATCTTTAAGGCGGGTCACAGAGGGGGGGGGAGCCTTCACACAGGCGGGGAGTGCGGGCGGGGGAATGTGACCCTGAAACTTCCGACTCAGGAAAACGACCGCTGGAGCTCCGATGGAGCTCGCTTTCGTGAGAACGCACAAACCAGCACAAAATCCAGCACTGGCATCCGATAGATTCCTATAGCCCACCACCATGGATCGTTTCTTTTGCAGCCCAGCAGCACAAATCTGGCCATCCACGAGGGTTATCTTCGCTCGGCCAGCTTCCAGTGCTCGGAGATGTTGGCCCTTCCGACCAATAAACTTCGGGATCAGATGCTCGGGGCATCGCCATGCCGAGGCTTCTTGGAGCAGCGTCCGCCGCTGATAGACAGCCGTGCGGATGCTTCCGCGATTCACCCTGCCTGGGCGAAAGTACAGGCCACAGGGTCATGCAAAGGATGGTGACATGTAGTGACCAAATGCCGGACCGGGTCCTGAATCGTGCAATGCCGAAAAGAAGGATTTCCAGCGCCCTCCCCGAAATGAAGGGTGTCCGCAGCGGTAGACCTCATGGCGCAAGGGCACCGGCCGATCTTTGGTTTCCACCACATTCACAGCCTCCACCCGCGTGTTAGCAACCCACTGCGCGATGCAGCGACTGTTTGGAACAGTGGCAGAAAGCAAAATAACTCGAAGATGAGATGGCAGCATGATCATGACCTCCTCCCATGCAAAACCTCGTCCTTCATTCCCCAAGAAGTGAGCCTCGTCCACCACGACACAAGAGAAGTCATCCAGTAGCAACGGGTCGCGTGCCTGCCTGTAGAGCATGACCTGCAGAATTTCCATGGTCATGATGACCACCGGTGCATCACTGGCAATTGTGGTGTCACCCGTGAGTATTCCCACACGCGAGGCGCCAAATAAGGCACTCAGCTCCTTATACTTCTGGTTGGAGAGGGCTTTGATAGGAGTCGTGTAGATGGAGCGGCGACCGGCGCGCAAAGCAGTCTCAAGCGCATACTCAGCCACGGCAGTTTTCCCAGCTGACGTCGGAGCACAGAACATCACAGATTCCCCTGCCGCCAAGCAAGACATGGCCTGCAACTGCACAGGATCCATGTTCCGGCCACGGCTGAAGGTCATCCCGGATAAGTTGGGCCGCACATTTGCCAGCTCAGAATCCAGGAACGACGGACGGATTCGGATGTGAGTGAAGCTGCCTCGGGTGTGGAACGGCTCAGACACAAGGTCGGATTCCACGGCATCCTCTGCCTCGTAGGCTTCAGAGCTGTCGAGCCACGATTTTTCGAGCTCTTCCTGCAATCGATCTTTGGGCAGCCGTAGGAGATGTTGTGCCTGTGAGGCCTGGTCTTCGCGCAGCGCGAAAACTACAAGCTCCTGAGAAGATGCGGATGTCCACGGGAACCTGTGCACCCACAACGAGGCACAACGCACAAAACAGAGCTTGTGCACCGGGCTTGTTGCCCTACCATGCCCTACCAGAAAGCCCCAACATGTCTGCCAAGAAGCTCTACAAGGCAACCCACTGAGAGGATGAAAGCATGCAGCAAGACGCTGGCAATCTCAGCCTTTGCCTGCGTGTGAGCTTGGCACAGCGGTTAATCATGGTATTTTGTTTGACCCGCGTGAGGCCTGACAAAGCTCGAATAATTGCGAGTATTCGGAGGCATCAGCCACAAGCCAATGTACTGGAAGGGCTGCATCTCCTGTCCATCTACCAGCAGGACCACGGTGCAAAATGGCGCAGAGAACCGGAGAAAGCCTGCAACCTCGTCACTCGTCGGGGCTGTCAGACCTCAAGCGCGGCTGAGACTCACGCAAATGCCCCACGCGGAAGAAGAACACATCCATCTCCATTCCTGCGAAAATCAACCCGGCCCGGTCCACCTTCATTGGACTCATCTCGTGCTGCGATGCCCAGGGTCTGCAGCTCTGCCAGTTCGGGCGCTGTCCTTTTTGGCACTCCCACGCAGAGCCGACGTAGTGTTTACCGACTGGCCAACCAAGGCACGATCGGGGCACGGACTGCGATGACTCCAGGTGCTCCTGCTCTTCATCCTGTTCAACCTGCAGAAAGCTCTCAGGGAACCATAAAGGAGATGAGGTCGCATAGAGGTGGCTTGCAGCATCGTGTGCGAAGGCATGCGGCCTCTACGGCATCGTCAGCATCCTCACGTGCCTCATCATCGGACTCGGTGGCACCACCAGCAGGCCTCGGACAAAAATGCAGGCCCAGAGCATCACCTCGCAGATTGCCACCAAGCTGCCCAACTCCAAGGGCGGCCATCCGAGAGCGACTCCGATTTGAGCCAATCGTTGCGGCACGAAAGCTGTGCATCGATGCAAGAGAGCCGCTCCTGTACCTACAATGGCTGGCACTTCCGAGATCGCGGATTCAACGACCAGGACCACGGAGGACCAAGTAAGCCACAGGCCAGCAATGTTGCCATAGAGACCGTGGCTGAGAGGAGGTTGATGTATAGCATCTGATTGTACTTGGTCGTCTTGTGCTCCTCTCAAACCATGGAATGCTAAGGACCTTTATGGACCTCTGATGCCCATCTTCGTTGCTTTTCGCGCCTTGAAAAGCTTCTCTTGGAAAGTTGAGGTCAGCCCGTCAAGGGCCAGGAACCCACCCAGAAGCATGAAGCCCTGGGCCGGCATCTCTCTGACTTGCTCATCTACGATATGTACGATTTTATAGGATATATATGAGAGAGAGAGATTCTTGTTTATTTCTTCATATATCTTTGTATGTATATGTATATATGAAGAAAAGTCTCTATGGCACCGTCTTCTTCGACACTTCTCACAACGAGTGCCTTGAAGCTGTTGGCCGAACTCACCTTCGAGTGGGTTGGACCTCTGCGCACGCTTCGTCAGAGGATCGAGAGACGCACACTCGCACGCTGTGCCTACGCCGCTAAGCGCAGTCCCGAGAGCCTGTCATCAGGAACTCCGTGCAGCCCAAGGTGACGGCAAGTGCCACGGACCAGTCCCGCATTCCTCTGATCGTTGGCATGAAGATTGGGGGGTTTGATGGCATCACATTGTAGCTGTCATCCAAGGAACCATAGGTCTTGCCAGAGATGATGATGCCCCAGACCATGACAGGCATCATCTTGAAGCTTTTCCCCAACATCCTTGGGAGCACTGACAGCTGAGATTGACAAACACGGACGCAGAGATCATGAAAACCGAAAGGCACGCAAGATCACCCAGCAAAGCGCTATAGAGCTGAAGGGAAAAACGACGTCAGAAGAGTGTGCGCACCATCCCACTTTCGTGGGCACTCTTGGCCATCTTGCTTCCAAGATGCTGCACTGCAAAAGACACATATTTCAACGCCTCTGGTCGGGGTGCTTCGGCCACTCCGCATAGACACATGTCTGCCCCCTGACCAGTTCATGCCTCCCTGCCTCATACTGGCAGGAGCTGGCATAAACGTTCGACAAGGAGACGACAAGGTACTTCCAAATAGGCGCCTGCTTTCATGGCCAGGACAGGGCCAAGCAAGCTGAAGCCTGAAGCCCAAAGGATGCACCGCCTCATTCTGCATCCTCTCACCCTTCATGAATGCCTGAGTTGGGGGACGATCTGCAAGCAACGAGTCGAGCTGACTCGCCCTGCACCAATGCATCAAAGTGTGCCATGCATACGGCGAAGACCACTGCTGCCAGACGGTTGCACAGCACGAGGAAGACCTTGGGCTTGCTCATGCAGAGGCCAGAAGGGGGACTGGCGGGATTGGCGACAAGCCGGACAGCCAGGAAGCGCAAATTGCGGAGAACTGCGCTGAGCTGTGCGAAGATACAAGTCACGTGTAACTGTGGCCAGGGGGAGCTCGCCACCGTAGGCTGCTAAAGCTCCAAGTTGTGGAAAAGGTGGTTCCCTGATCTCCGTGTCTCCGTGAAACCAAATCCACACAACTCCAGGTGAACGAAACCTGAACCATCCTGAACCCGTCCCTGGCTCACGACTTAGGCTGGCTAGGCCCTAGCATCCTACTGCTACACCTAACGGACCTAACGCAAGGCAGACCCCACAGTCTCGCTTGATAGCGGTCAACTGCTGCAACGTCGAGAAATGGCTGAGCTCAGGCACCGAATACGTGAAGAGGCTGCCGTCATAGGACACCGTCATGATGCCTTCCTAGAGAGAAGAAAATCATCCCCCGGACTTTGTGTATTTGAGTCCCTGCAATCTACTGTGCTGAGGATGTTCACCCCGGGCCGAGCTCCCCTGAAGCAAGACTTTGAGCATTGTGGCACTCAACGGCCTGCAGAATGCCGTAGAGCACCAATGTTCCTCTGCTCACGGATTTTGATTGCTTACAACTCAAGAAGGATGTCTTTGCCACCACAACTGTGTCACGCTTCAGGAAGAAACAAGGTTTCTCTAGCGACTGGTTCATGGGACTACCTTTTTCAGGCACTGAACTGATCTGAGGACTCATGGGGAAACTGCTACTTTGCTTTTGGAATGCCAGAACCTAGCACACCAGTCAAACACGAAGCTTCCTTGCTCCCGGCTGGACAACACGTGTCGGAAATTCTGACAGCATGCTCGGGGGCGCAAGCTACGCTAACCTTACGCCAAGCGTCCAATGATTCCGGCGCCATAGAAGGCGCACCATACGGCCGAAGTTGGGGAGACCTGACCTGCAGAAAATCTTTCGAATCGAAGGCGTGGTCAAGGTGTAGCTCAATGCTGCTCCCTACGGCCCACCTTCCATGGCGCGACACAGGCTACGCTAAGCAGAAAAGGTAACAAGACACTGTGGGGCCCAGAAGGGGCTGCAGAGAGCTCGGCACGCTATTTCTGAGCCATGATATTTGGGGGTTGCTAGATCAGGGACAGCTTTCCTGAGCGGTGCCTTTGTATTGGCGCCCTACAAGAAGTACACGAACTTCCTAAAGCAACTCTTCATGTACTTCGTCTTTGCAGCAATGCGCCCCGCACGAAAATCCGAGCAGCTGCAGGACCACTTTGCTGGTGTGTCAGTGGCCACAACAGGGACCTCCTACGCCAGGTGTGGAATTGCAACATTCCCCGGCTAAAGAACGGAGTGCGCAATGGGGAGCTCATGAGAGCTCGATAGCGCAGGCAGTTGCCTATGGCAATCTTTGATTGCACTAGCGGCACGCGCTGCTAAATGATTTCAGGGGCAGGCACCCCCATAGAAGATTAAGGGAAACCGCCACAGGCGTCTAAAATACTTGCGAGTAAGAAGAAACTCGGCCCACAGCTCATGCAGCCTGTCCAACTCAATGGTTAAACTTACACGGCTTTGCTGGCATCATTGTCCGCTGCAGGCTCCGTGGCCTGCAAGTTTCACTCCCTCAAACTCTGGCACATCGCAGGTGCGCAACGCATGGCCCGGCATCATCCATGAGCGGACCAAACGTTGAGGCTCCCATGACTCCACCAACAACATGTCTCGGAAACTCTCAGATGCATTTTCATCAATTTTCATCATTTTCCCCCGCCTTCCCTGCCAGAATCGGCATCTTCTCCTCCTTGCTGGGTGCCGTCAGCATGGCGGCGATCCTTGGAACGCGTGGGAACACTTCGTCTCGATCTCGTGGGGTTATCGAGTGCTCTGACACTCTCTGTCCACTCCTCTCTGTGCTCAATCTTGCAATCGAAGCGTCGACTTGTAGAAGAGGGCGGAGAAGATGACGCACAAGCCCAGAACCTGCAAGTGCGTCACGGGGTTGTGATACTTGACCTTGGGTGGCTCACGGATGCGAACATTGAGGCCCTCAAATAAAAGCAACTGGATGCCGGCAAAATACAGGGATCTCGTTCCATTTCAATCGCCGGACTTGGGTGAATGGCACCACCAATCTTTCCTAAACCCTAATCCCTAAACCCTAAACCCTAGACCTTAGAAGCTCGAACTGAACCCTTTTGTATAGAAGTCTGCGCGAAAGCGGCGTAGGAGACCAAGATGGAGACAACCTGGCGGACGTTCATCGTCGCCGCAAAGACCAAGGCACCAAACTCCTTAATCTGCGAGTAGATGAAGAACCTGAGGCTCTGTGGCTTTAGGGTCTTTTTTCCCACCCGTTTCGCGTTTTTTTTGCCACCCGACTAGCCACGGCAATGCGGGGTGCAAGGTCGGAACTTGAAAGGAGAACCTGTATTTCCAGGTATTCAAAAGGCTACCCGGAATACTCGCCCACAGGGGCAATCATGGTAGGACATCGTAGTTGGATGACTAAATGTTCGGTGGGGGGGGGAGTTGTGTGTTGTATTAATTCCAACCCGTAGGATCCTCAGGAATGGGGGTCTGAGAGAGTCCTATGGGGGGGGGAGGGAGCCTTTAGGGAGAGGCAGCGGATCTGGACAGCTACATGTGTTCGGGGGGCCCAAGTGGTTTCAAAGTGCAGGACCCTAGTTGCTACCTGTCTTCTGGAAATTCGCCCGGATCCCCGTGGTAGGCTGCAAGAATCTGATATGTGCACGCCTGTGGCAAGTGTATAGATGACAGGCAAACCATGAAACAGGGTTCCGGGCTCGGCAAATCAGGCGTTTCAATGCGTGACGAGCCATTGTTCCCTGTGGGGACCACGTTCGCCTGCCTACCTACGTCTTAGCTCCCCGATAGCAAACCTAGCGATCCCGGAGCAGCGTCATCCCTTGGCTTGGCTCGGCTTGCACAATGAATTTTGCGTTTTGGGGTTTAGGGTTTGGGGGGTTTATGGAAAATAGGGGACCCTAAACTAGACCCCCAAATGGTACGATCCCCTTAGAATAAGAATAAGGACCCCCATAAGGTACCCCTACTTTCGGAAACCAGCCCCTGTGGCTTTTTGTGCTTTTGGGGTGTCAGGGTTTTTCGCGTCTGCTTCAGTGGCTTTTTTACCTCCCTGCGGTGCTTGGTACACTCCCTCAGGCCGTATTGCACCTTTCCGGAGTTTTCGGGCAGGCCTTGCATAAAGCCAGGGGCAGAACTGTCTACCAGAAGAAGCCACAGCGAGTGCACCCAGTGAAAAAGAGTTTTCTGCGCATCTGAACATAGCACATCATCGCACATCTAGGCACCCTCCGCGCAGCAAACCCCGCAGAGCCCACCACAAACCCTAAATCTTTGAAGAAACATTCTTTAAGCGTTTAGAGAGAGTCAGGAACCCTAAGCCCAGAGAATCTCGATTTGAGCCCTGCCGCTGGCTCGCCACCGCCGACGCGCTCAGCATGCCACAGTCCAGCCAAAAGCGCCTCATGGAAACAACGGGTTTACTATTAATACAATTATTATTATGATTATTATTGTTGTTATTATTACTCTTATTATTATTATTAGCCTTGTTGATCAATGAACGTCAGACATGGCCAAACTGTCACAGACGGAGTACAGCCAGATCTTGAAGGGAAACAAGGGGTTTTTCGGGCATAAGGACTTCATTTTAAGGATTTTTGGCCACCCGCCTGGCAGACTCGTTCGGGTTTAGGGATCAGGTTCTTTGGGGTGTAAAGGCCTAGGGCTTCGACTCTCCCTTTCCAACGATCCGTCCTGCAGGAGTCTGACTACGATGACGATGGGAACACACAGGCATGCACGAAGATGCCTGCGGAAAACTGAGCCCCCTACCCGGTCTCTCATGGGCATAGCAAGGTAGGGAAGTTCAACACAGACTAGCCGGGGGTTTGGGGTTTCTAGGGTTTAGGTCTTCTGGGGGTTGCCCTCAAACCTTCGACTGCCTAATTCCCAAACCCCTCAGCCCCATACGGATGCGCAAAGCCAAAGGCGGCTGCTGGCCACATCTCTCCAGTCACCTTCGCACAATAGCAAAAACCGGAGAACGAACCTGCGACTGTTGTCATGATTACAGAACAGAGGCGGAAGTGTGATGTTGCATCTGTTGTCACGTCGTGCACATGTCTGTGTCCCGTGCCCTGACTTAACTACGGCGACATGTCACGATTGGCTTACACACCGACATATACACCGACCGTTTCCGCAGTGTTGGGCCTGGCCTTGCTTGACTTGTTGGCATTGGCAAAATTTAGGCGGCGTGGGTGGTTCATGGCTCCCTGCAACACTCTTGCAGGACCCTGCTGAGCTTGCCTGCTCACACCTTTTACATCTGAATTTCTGTCGGAGACCCGAACAAGCAAATTTGTGCTTCGGAACTCGTGCCTTTCGCCCCTTTACCGGCATGCCTGTCGACCCAAGCCCACGCCCGAACCCCTTCAACCCAGGCCGAAGTGGGCAGAGTTACCGAATTAGGTGCATGCCTTTTGGGCGCAATTGGTCAGAGAAATCGCTCTTGATGGCTAAGCTTTGTCCCTGGTTCTGCGCGTCCGAGGTCTTCACCAAGAGCGTGACCATAGAGACGGTGGCCGACAGGAGATTGATGTACAACATCTGGTTGTACTTGGTGGTCTTGTGCTCCTGGCTGCCGGACCAAAAACCCAGCATCCTAGTACCCGCATGAAGCAGCCTACACGCATGCGGATGTGCCGCCGTCGCACATCAGAGATCCAGTATGCACAGCTGCCAGCGTTTCCTTGAAGAGCTTCTCTTGAAATGTGGACGTGAGGCCGTCGAGGGCAAGGAAGCCACCAAGCAACACGAAGCCCTTGCATTCAGACTTCAGGTCGGGAGCCGAGGGACACGAGCTCAATATGAGGCATTTTCCGGCTTTGCACACTTCGAGGCCTTGAAGCTGTTGTTGGCATCCACCTTGGAGTGTGTTGGACCTGCCGTGGCGAAGGAGTAGCGTTCCACAGAGCTTCTTTAAGCAGCTCTGTTTGCTGGCACCCTGCTTGGTTCCTGCAGCTGCTTGAAGATTGCTGCGTATCCGTGTGTGTCTGAAGGGGTTGTAAAAAGTGTTTATAGGATTTCGGGTTTATGGTTTATAGGGTTTTCATGTACTATTGTAGGACCCAGGTGCTTCAACAATCTCAAGCACGGGCTGCAGGCTATGGAAACTCTCTAATCGCCTACTGCCTACTGCATGCGAGACTAGACTGTCCTCATGCTGGGCAAGTGACCCCAGGAAAGGCGCTTGACAAGCAGCTCCGACACCCTTTCTGAAGATTCGGCGGCGGCGTGCGGCAGGCTCTGTGCCCAAGAACAGGCTCTGTACAGGGTCTCTGCCACGGCAACAAAAGGCGCACGGCAAGCGCTGGCAATGGTTGTCCCCATACCGGACATCCCAGTCCCAACAGTTCTTGCACATGTCGCCGAGTTGTGTGCGGCCATCACTGCAAGCAGCAACTCTCTTTACAAATTGGGAATGGCCTCGAAAGGGCTCGTGAGATGACTGAGATGTGGAGGCTTGGCCCCAACACCGCTGTACAGGAGGCGTCCCCAAGGAAATCAAGTGTGCTCGCTCGCAGGCCCGAACCCGAAGCGGGAGGCCGGTGCCCCCCGCCTTGGCGATCGCCCCTCCGAAAGTTCCCGTCTCCGGACTGAGCCTCGAGGGAGCTCGGAAGCTCCCGACCTCTACCTGGCACAAAAATGTTGGACACCGGAAGGCGACAACCAAGCCCAGGGTTTGGAGGCTTGGGCCCCGAATCAAACCTCGAGGATGAGCCGCGCACGTGCCTGAACCACACAGCGGAACGTCCTCTGGAAGGAAAGTTTGGGAGCGTTCTGCTTGGCCAGGCGCATGTAGCCGAGTCTCCCACCTTGGCTGGAAGCAGAAAGATGCTCTTTGAGAGGTCTTGCAAATGACACTTGGGCCCATGCACCGCATCCCCACAAAACGATTATGACCCCAAAGCAGCAAAGAGACAGGTCAGGGGCCGGGGCTCGTCCCCCGAGAAGCACCTGGCAACTTCTGGAAGCCTTCTTGGATGCCTCCGCCTTCGGAGCGCCCGGAGCCGCTGCCTGACTGGCTGTAGGCATTCGAATCATTAGAATTGAGGCAATGACACTCACTCAACGGCCTTTTTGCTCCAACCTGGTGAAATCTTTGCTCCCAATAGCCCGAAACCCTAAACCCCTCTTTGTCCCCAAAGCAACCCCTAGAAATGCCCTGAGTCACACCCTGCCCAGCCTCGAGAGGACAAGAGCTCTGCGCATCCACTGGCCCAAGAAGGGAACGGCATCGAGAGCCCAGGCCTCGAAGAGTCCGGAGACATAGAGGAGGAAAGTAAGGACGCAGCCCAAAGGCCCCAATGGCCGCTCTGTGAGGTGAAGGCCTCTGGCTGGTGACCTTCCAAAGCTTCGTTGTGAAGAAATGGCTCCTACCACATGACGTCAGCTCCCTTCCCGGAGCCCGCAAGACTGAGATGGTCAGCCGTGGTTGCACACCGGGCTGAGCTTTCCAGGACCTGATCTTCACGGTGTTTTGGCCGACATTTGCCAAGGAACACAGATCCTGCCATTGAAGGGTCTGGTTGCACAGTGAAGCATCCTCAGAGCTCGAAATGCCGGCTGATGCTAGTGCTGCAGCCTGCCAGCCGCTCGGCATGGTCACGATGGTTCTTGGTGCCGTCTTGCCTGGAAGAAAGGCTACGTGGCCTGCCCGGGGACCTCGAAGCCTTACAGGTTCCACAGCTTCTGTGAGCTTCCACCATCGCAGACCCAGCAGGTCTCGCAAAGTCCGGGCGAAGAGACTGCCCCAGCCTGACAGGTCGCTGGCGCAGCTGGCACAGTTGGCGCAGCTGGCGCAGCTGGCGGCCTTGGAGCGGCCGAGCGAAGGCCGCCAGCAGATCGCGATCAGTTGGCCGCCCGTGGAAGGGGAGGCCAACTGAAGCTGCGCCGGTCGTCCGGTCCATCGCGCCTGCGGCCGTGGACCTCGGGTACCTGGAGCTGCTATGAGAAACCCAGCTTTCACCGAGCTCACCGTCATTTCAGCCAGCAGGACGATCGAGCCCCCGTGGGTTGGGACATGTAAGGCAGCCAGATGCATGAGGCAAATCACATTCTCGGAGGTCAGGGGAAGTCTCATTGGAGTTGTGGGTGCCGACGAGAGATCTGTGAAGCCTTTCGGGCTTAAGGTCTAGGGTGTAGGGGTTTAGACTTTGGGGACAAGGATTTGCTGGGCTCTCTTATGGGAGCGTAGGGGTTTCGGGTTTTTGGGGCGTGCCTGGTCCGTGCGTCGGCAGTATCGCGCGATGATCCGTGCACTCATACAGCCGACACTTGGCCGAAGGGACCCGCGTTAGGGCCCTAAGACACGTGAACCTGCTGGAGCCAGCCGATTCCGAGGTCACCATCATCTTCATGAACAAGTTGTAAGTTGGGAGATCCGAGGTCACCAGCTTCATGAACCAGTTGCAGGTTGGGAGATTTGCTGGACTCCGCGTCAACTTGATAACTTGCCCTACAACTGGGTACCTGGGCTGCACCAGCTCTGCAGGCGTAGTATATAGCTCCACTGTTGCCTTTGTTGCTAGAACCAGGAAACAAGTACATTCTGTGAGTCCTCTCAGACTTTGTTACTTGTTACATCCCACCTAATGAAAAAAAAGGCTGTGCTAAACTGGGAGAAGCAGATCGCTGGTGGAACAGGAGGCGTCTTGAAGGCCAGCTTCGTGCAAAGCAGCTTCTCAACCAGCCTGGCATCCTGGAAAATTTCAGCAGCTTCCCTTCGACCTCAACCGCCTAGGGTTTATAGAGTACATGTCTGGCCGCAACTTACCTTGTTGTTTCCGATGCTCGTAGGCCCAAAGCACCCTCATCCTTGAGCAAGCCTTAAGTATATGTATGGCTCTACTGTAGGTGCTGTAGTGTAGCCTTACCAACCAAGTAGCACAGGATCTTTTGCTGCGTGTAAGACCTCCGCATTGTGTGAGCCATGGTTGGGGTAGAGACTGGGGAATCTAAGACGGCGCTGGTTTCTGCTTCTCAGGTTGCTGGTTCACACCAGCATTTAGGGACTATTTAGGGTCAAGCTGAATTGGAGCATGTGGAGCAACATGTAAAGCACTCGATGCTCTATGGTATGCAAACGTATACAGCGTGGTATTTACAGCACGCCACGGCGCAAAAGACCCTCAAGATGAATCCGACTCTCAGTTGACCCCCCCCTGCTGTCCCGCGCATCGAGGCGTTGCAAAGTTGCAGGCGCCAGGGCTGCGAGGCTTCGAGGGCTTTGAGGGGAACTTCGAAGCGCTGAGCGAAGCCAAAGGCTGGCAGATGGAATGGACTACAATACATTTAGGGTTTTAGGGTCAGGGGTTTAGGGTTTAGGGTGAGTATACGCGACTATAACGATTAATATCTTCCACACGAATCTGCGAATGTATAGGAGACTAGTGGTATGGACACTACAGTCCGCAGCACTTTGCAAAAAGTAGTCCGGCTCCGGATGCTGAAACTCTGAGGCTTTTCATTTTGTAGGCAATCCAGGTGAGGGAGCAACTCAAAATGGTGAGCCCATCCTGGCAAAATGGCAGCAAGAACATGAAAGGAAAGGCTGTGCACAATCTGACAGTATCTGAATCTAAACGACAGCCTACGAAAGATCGACAAGGATTCTTAAAGCTGCACAACCAAACCTACCGTCCATAAACCCCACAGCACACCCTCTGCCCTCTGTGTGTGTGTGTGTCTGTCCGCTGATACTGTAGAACTGTTGTGGCATGACTTGCAGAATACAGACGCACTGCGGGATGTACTCAGTTGCCGCAGGCCTGTCATCAGGAACTCTGTGCAGCCCAGCGTGACGGAAAGGGCCACGACCCAGTCCCGCACACCTGATTCTTCAACTTTCAACCGAATTGCTTTTGACATGAAGTGTGGGCCGTCGCCCATCTTGCGGCAAGAAACTGTAGGACTTTCCAGAGATGATCATGCCCCAGATCCTCACCATGCAAACCGAAACACGGTGAGGGTATGCCAACTGGCTTCAGGCTGCTCATATGTAGTGCAAGAGTCATAACAGGCATCATCTTGAAGCTCTTCCCCAGCATCTGCACTGCAAAGGACACGTACTTCAAGGCCTTGACGCGCGAAGGTCGTACGTTCGGACAGCCGACCACGACCTCACCAAATACAACGCCAGCCTCGTACTGGCAGGAGCTGGCATAGACATTGGAAAGAGACACAATGAGGTATTTCCACAGCGGCGCCTGTCGAACCCCATCGCACTACGACACTACGACATGCCACTGAGTGCCGGAATGTGCCGGAGTTTCCCCACAAATTGACCCCAACAACACCTCGTTTTTCATGGACTCGCCCTTTGCGGCTGCCTTGGCTGTGCACTTTTGGCACCAGAGATGCGCATGTGAGCGCAGGTGTGTTGTCAGAAGCCTCGCAAGAATCTGATCCTGGGTGTGGGAGAAAGTGCAGGGGTCAATCGCAAGGCCCTGCTTGAGCCAAGCTTGCCATGGAAACCGCGAACACCACCGCCGCCAGCCGATTGCACAGCACCATAGAAACCTTTGAAGTCGGGAAGCGCTTTTCAGAAGACGGAGATTCACCGGGCGAGCTCGCAAAGAACGGCATTGCAACAAGACAGTTAAGATTCACTGAGCACGTGATGCACATGCGACTACGCGCGCATCTTCAGGGCTTTCGCTTGCTTTCATCCTCGTCACAACTCGGACCAGCTAGGTGCGACACACCTACTCCTTCGTACTTGTAGCACTAGCAATAGCATGAAAAAACAATGCTCATATCGTCATTGTCGTCGTCGTCATCATCATCATCATGATCATGCCCATAACCTTCTTAACCCTAGTACTAACAATCATCATCGCAGTACTAACCATGCTACACCATGCTCAACAAGCACACTGGAACGACGACCAGAACATTCTAACCACTGAGTGAGGGGGGGAATCGGAGACACCTGACCATGTACATGCATATCCGATTATGGTAGCTGGAGCAATGACCACCACCCCACCTCACAGGAACCAAGACAATCTCCTCCAAATCGCACCGGCACCTACTAAAAACTCAACAGAGCGCGCGGGTTTAGGGAGACATGAGAGTAAGTTTCTCTTCGTTTCTTTGTTGTTGTGGGCTTACACCCTCAGAACGCGTTCTTAAGCCTTCAAGAAGCTGGGGCTTCCTGCGCGAAGCAATGGTCGGAGAACAAGCTTCGTAGGGCAAAACTATGTAAATCTCGTGCGTGCCCAGTCACAAACCTTGAGCGGGTGCATCGAACCCTAAACCCTAAACCGTATGTTCAGCTAAGGATCGGAATATCTGAAGAGGCTTCCGTCATAAGCCACAGTCATGATGCCTTCCTGGAAGACGAGGCGCCCGTAACAAGGTTTCCGGGATCTCCGCTAGGGGAACATATTCCATATCAGTTGTGGGGTAGCAAATGAATCATCTATGACAGGCCTGGAGGATGCCATAGACGACCAGGGTGCAAATGATTCCGGCACCATAGAACCTGCTTCACCGCATCTCGCAAGGGAGGGAGGGAGGAACCCTGCTCTTCGAAAAGGAAGAACCCCATCCCGAAATCCAAGCATATCGAGCAGCACACACCAGGCAGCAGAGGACGAGCTCAGGCCTTGGGCAGAAAACTTTAAAACAAAACACACACAGGAGATCAGTATTCGACACCGAACACTAGTAGGTGCCACAATGCATCAAGGCTGCTCTCCGTCACAGCTGCCATTGCTTCGTTCACGGATGGTAGTTAGGGGGGATCGTGTGACTTTGAGCCAAAGCTGCCGAGCCCACAATAGCCAAGTACGCGAACATCAAAATAACAGGCAATCGCTGGATGTTACATGCCCCCTTCTCACTCTGGCACTCTCTGACTATCGCGATATCTTAAATCTTCCTCTTGAACAGACCGATTGTCATCATGGGCATGCCTCCTGCTCCGCTTCGCTAAAGGCATCGATTGTCTCAGCCTTCTCAGCTGAGCCGGGCTCGAAGCAGACCCCCGCAAAGAGGCTTCCGATGCTCGATGTGGGTTTTCCCGTGTGCCTTCCGGCGCTCGAAGGTTGTTCCTCGCAGCACGCCGGCATAGCTGCGCCGATACAGGGCCATCGCAACTCTGGGGCATGCAGACTGTTGTACTCATGAGAATGGTGAAGACTACTTGTTCAATGTGCTTCTTCTCGAACAAGATCTTCATTCTAGAGGCACCAAGGACGGGTGGCTAGATTCGGTTAGAGGCTGGTATACGAATCATGTCCTGTCAAGCCAGCGAATGTTAGAGCGTGTTCGGATCATCTCATGCACAGCTGCACCACAAACACGACCTCTACACGGTTTTATGCACAAGTCATGGTCATATGGTAGTTATTTTCATAGGGGCCATACTTTGGATGGTTTGTGGGGTTGGGGTAACTCAACAACCCCAAAAGTGTTTTGGGCTTGAGGTCCTTAAGAGTTGAGCCTTTCGGGCGACACGCCCCAAGCTCCTTTCGCAGAACGTGCTCCCCCGCCCCAGTCTGGTTTTTCTCCAGAGAATCACATTGTTTCTTTGTTGGGTAGAGAAGCTACTCCATGACCCCACTAGCCACATGAGCTCCTGCCATTCACCGGCCCATCCCTTGAATTCGCGCACAGCTCCCTAAACATTCTTGGGGGACCTGTTCCTCTTCAGCCCTATTCAATCCCCTGTTCCTCTTGATCCATACTCAATCCCCCTGGCGAAGCTCTCTGGCGCGGACATGAGGAACTCCATCTCGCGCTCGGAAAAGAAGGGCGCCTCATGTACGGCCGCACCAGGTTGCTGGACCTTGCATGGCAGGCTCTTGGATTGCAGAGCACGAAGGTTTATTCACCCAGTCGGCCACAACTCGGGCGGCGTTTGCCTTAACGGTTCAGGCCCGGTTTCTGTTCAAGTGCCCTGCTTATGACTGGTTGATTGACAGGTCGTCTGCCAACCAAATATCCTGCCTTTGAGCGGTTAACCTAGCATGGGATTCCAAGGATATGAGGGTTCAGGTTAGGGTCTGAGGTGTGATGAGTGCCGCGATTGGACTGGTCTCGAAGGCGGTTAGTAACTCAAGACACTACGACTCAGCCCCAGATCAACCACCAACTACATTAGGCTCATGAAACCCACAATTTGGAGATGAGCCTTGTCTGCAGCAAAGCGGTGGCGAGGGCCAGAGCTGGTGCTGGCCACTGACCTTGGGAACGGACTGCATTTCGGTGGGTCGATAGGGGTCGATCTGCATAGAAGGACCACTGAAGGTTTCCTTTTGGGGGCTCTGTACACTCCATCTTCGTTTGCAGTAGATCCCGTACAGCTTAGGCTCAAGGGGGGGGGGCCCACGTGTGAGCGCTCCCCTCTAGAAACCTGAACCTCCTGAAATTTGCAGACTTTCAGAATCCTGGAAACTGCCACGAAAAAAGGACTTCGGCCCATAACTCGGTCGCCTACCGCTGCCCAGTGGTGAGGCGGGCGAAGATGGAGCTCATGGGCCCCGAGGACTCGGTGACAAGGCACAAGAAACTTCCCACCACCTGTGTACTCCTACTGTATACATTATTAGGATGTTGCCCCTTATGCTAACAGTCCTTAATGTGGATTCTATTACTACAATCATCCCACTGTTAGCATAAGCGGGAACATCCCAATGTGCACACCTCTAAGACCCGTATTCCCGAAGGGGTCCCTTTCGATTCTTGGGATTCCCATGTCATGTCCTTCAAGTCTGCGCTTCCACGAAGTTCGCGGCACAACTACGAAAGGATGCAATGCAGCACAAACTCGAACTGCGCGATGAAGATGTCCAAGCTCTGCACCCTTTGTTCTCCTGGTGCCAAGGAGAGGGTTCGTAAGAAAATCTGACTCTCTGTCGGGCAACATGACCAGACTCTCGAAGTTTTCTGCAGAAGCTGCATCTGCACCCAGGATACTGAGCTCCACAACACGCTTGGAGCGAAAGGAAGTCCATCCATGTTGCTTTATCTCTCTAAATCGCCAGGTTTGACAAGGATTTGTGCCAACTGGGTGACCGGCGGATTCTTGACCACAACCCGTCCAGGAATGCAAACTCGTGTCCTGGCATGTGGATCACTGGTGGGGAGTCCCATACTCCTAAGTCATGCATCGAGCCTTCCACCGGTGGCGGTGTTGAGTTGTCCTCAAATCGTTTTTGGGAAGCAAGCAGGCGAGTGTGCTTGCACTTGTGCGAGTTTCAGAGCATGGGCGAGAGATGTTTCATGAAGGTCTTGGCCCTAGCATGATTTCAAGCCCAAGAAACTTTGGAACGAAACTCACGACAAAGTCCCATGTCATCTTGCTAGGCTGAAGCACTGAGGCCCTCCCGCTCCTCCGCGTCAAAGTTGCCGCCGCCAGTTGCAGACAGCGTACTTAGTGTTACCAGACACTGCCAACCATAACGGCACGACGCCTACATACTGCACAGGGCCCACAAGGTCGAGTCCCCAGCTCTGCTGTGTAGCGTGACGAGAGGGGATCAACAGGACCGCGGGAAGCCTTAGAACTGCATGCGCACAGCTCCCTCAACCTACTGAGCAAAAACCTCAAAAATTCAGCAGGTTGTTAGTGACTAGCTGACTAGCTACCAGTAGTTTCCTTCAAAGCCTGACATGCCCAAGGCGCTCGAGATGCATCCTCTGCTGAAATCAAGGCCTGGACGGATGGTGGAACGGTAGCAGACCCAGCGATGATGTTGAACCAGAAACTTGAAATCGTGCCGCACTCCAAGGGGTTGGGTTCTGCAACTGTCATTACAAAAAATCCCGGGGGTAAACGCTTACCGGGCTTACCCTGAGATCTGCTCGGTCCTTGTAGCCAGATTGCTGCAGGTTGCTTCGCCCCTGCAGAAGCGTGGCCCGATGCTCCACGAGCATCATGACAAAAAGAACCTCCAAGCAAGTGCGGGGTCCGGCTCACGTGCTGCACGTGCTCCCCGTGCAGAAATGATCGGCAATCTGGTGGAGCGGTGGGCTTCTGAGGAGAGCGCGTAGAGGCAAACCTCGGCATGATAAGATGATTAGGCCTCAGGCCTAATCTCTTAAACCTTCAGACACCTCTTTGAAGGCGCTTTCCATGTATTGGCAGAGGCCCATCTCTCCTCTCTTGAGGCTTTAGCATGCTCTCGCGCAGGAAAGAACGCGCTGTGTTGTCTCGTGGGCCGAGGCCGGGGCAAGGAGCTGGTCCACGGTCCAGGCATAGGCGACGTAAGGCGCCGTGCCATAAGAGATGAGAACGAAGCCTCCGACAACTTCTCGTAACTCATCTCTCAACTTATCGGACCTGCTGATCGCTTTCTCTTTGTTCGGCTTTGTTCTGCTCATGGAGATAGAGAGAGAGAGATGGAGAGAGAGAGAGAGAGAGAGACGGCGAGAGAGCGAGAGAGAGAGAGAGAGAAATAGCGAGAGAGAGAGAGAGAGAAATAGAGAGAGAGAGAGAGAAAGAAATAGAGAGAAAGAGAAATAGAGAGACAGAGAGAGAAAGACACACAGAGAGAGAAGAGAGACGGCATCACGAGCATCATTTGGTCATCGAACCTCAGAAGAGCCTCAGTGTTGTTTAGCCAGTCGCCTGAGGGCACCCCCCCGCCCCTACCCGCACCCTTAACATCGATTGTAACGTCGTTGAGACAACGCTGAAAAACATGCTGCATGAAGATGCTGGATAACGGGCCTCTCATACAGCGCGGTCCCACACGGAACCCTTGCAACATCCTGCACCCCCCTGGAGGCCTAGCAGGATCCAAACGTTGACGCCAGCAGCGGCCATTGTCTGACAGACTCTCGCGCAAAAAGGACACCGTCTGAATCTGTCTAAGGTTTAAGCTGGCAACTTCCTAATGCGTGGCAAGCTACCCTGATCCATGCTCTCCAGCCACGTTGCTTCAGATGCTTCCGCACTCCTTTTCCCGCTACAGCTGCGAACCTACTGAATGCCGATGTCCGCTACGATAGGAGAGCACACACATCCTTTGTGCAGAGGATCGAAAGCAATGGACGTCCGTTCGCTGCCACAAAGCGAACAAAGCCTCTGTTTGAGTGCTTTGTGTCGTCGAGCCACCGCCATCGTCTGAGCATGAACCTGTTTGCCCATCCAGCAGAAGCAGCGCTTTCGCCACCCTTTCTTCAGCTCTACATTCTGACCTCGCCTCGAAAAACTCGACCACTTCATGCAAGCTCTTCGGCTCGCGGCCAAAGTGCTTTTGCAGCTGGGCCATATGGTCGGAAATGGCACGTGGCATCTTCCAGGGTGGGCGCATGCGCACCCCAACCTCGAAAAGGAAAGCTGGTATCCCAAGTCGGTGATAGCCAGGGTGTGTCCAGACAACCTGCGGTGACATACTTACCTGGATGGAATCAATGTCTTGGAAGCTTCCACGAAGGTTTCTCAACACAGCGCATCTGTATGCTTCAGTTGGAGTGTCATAGCACGTACTGTTAGCCTTGACGTAGCACAGCACATTCATGCTCCGCCATTCCCGATCTTGCCAAACAAAAGCCTGCTCTTCCCTGCGCTGGTAGACAGCCGGTGCCCCCTCAAACTTGTCAAGCTGCAAAAGCTGCTCCTCAGACAGGAAGACTACTGAGCCGTAGGCCACCCCCTCTGCCCGCTTCTCCAAGGTCGCCGTCCCACAGCTTTCTTGCCCGCTAGCATGTGCCCAGCCTTTGTTTGGCCCACAGAATGCCAAGTCCATGCCTGGTATGAAGCTGGCATGACCCTGAAGGCTTTCGTCGAGCAATCGCCCTCTCAGCTGGGCGACACTGTTGCTGCCATATGAGAAAACGGGACGCCTCTTCGGGGATATCTGAGCTTCATGAGGTGAAGTACCATGAAGGGCTGCGCAATGTGGCCAGTCGTTGCCCTTCTGCATCATGTGCCCGCAGTTCATGCGATAGCGCTTTGTGACGCATACACGCGAGTTTAAGTATCTAGAGTAACCCGGTCACAACTCCTCAGGCCCTGTCGCCCCCTGAACAAAACCATGGCAATGGCAGACTTGCTGACTCTGTCTCAGATACACCTATCTGCATCGCAAGCAAGCAACCGTCTTCAGTCAAACAGTGTGCGGTATTCACGTCTCCTGACAATCTCTCATGGCACCAGACTGCGGAGGCCTACATTGAGCCGAAAGGGACGCATGCCACTGTAGCATAGACCGTGCGTACCCCAAGGAACCACCCTAACCCCCCAAATTCAGATCTTCAGAGGGTTTGAAGGGCTTCGCTTTGCCACCCAAACGATGCTCTGGGTACGGGACCAGTGTGGCCAACGCCTCAGGTCGCCACTTCGCACCGTGTTTGAAGAACTCTGGCAGCCGAAGGCCGAACGACCCAAAGAGAGAGAGAGAGAGAAAGACACACACTCCTTTTCGTTTATCCTTAGATCAGGGCAGCAACCGGGAGAGGCCGAAACGCGGCAATCTTCTGGGGCTCGGGCTGGTCCAGAGGGAGCACCGATGCTGGGAGGGACAAAGCCCAGGACCTTGAAAAAAAGCGGCTCGAGGGGCTAGGATGACTTCGGAAGCTCGCAGTCAGGGACCCTATGACCGACGAGCGCAGTTTTTTGGGCCGCCGACGCTGTGGAGCGGAATGTAAGAGGCGAAAAGGAGGCAGAACACCACGTCCTTGGCATGAAGCTTGGGCCCAGTTACACACGACGTCGGCGCCGGCGCCGGCCCAGTTCGCAGTGTCCGGTTCCCAAACGCGTGCACATGGACCCGAGGGGCGCACTGACAGGAGCCAAGCTTGCGGGAGGGAGCTCATGAGGAAGAGCGTCACCTTGAGCTCAGAATGGGCACCGGCAAATATCGGCACGGCTTTCCCTGCTTCCTTCCCCTCAGTTAAGAGCACGTCCCAACATAGGGCACCCCTTTTTGTTTATCCACCAAAAACTCCAGCCCATGCCGAATTCTAGGACCTCTAGGAAGATAAAATGGGAACCTGCGCACAAAAGGTGCGAACCTATGTTGGGGAGCCCAACTCTGATCCTGCGCAGGACTCTTGCACTGGGCACCCAGCGGAGAGCGCAGCCTGAGGGTGCCAGGGCCAGCCCAATACATGTATATGTATATGTAGATGTGTATGCATATGTATATGTATATGTATAAGTTTTTATATGTATATGTGTAAGTGTAAGTATAAGTATAAGTATAAGAATAAGTATATGTATATGTATATGTATATGTATATGTGTCACACACACACAGACACACGCACATCAGAATCTGCCTGTTCAGGCTTTGCGTGTGCGAATGCGTGGCTACGTTGATCAGATGTGCGAGTACATCCAAATATGTTAGTGTTTTACGTACATCTACGGGTATATGTAGACTGGATAAGGTGTGAGTATACATATTTTTCTATACTATACATTGCCGAATGTAAATGTGGCAGCCTGGGTCCTCACTATCATAGCGCCGGCTGGCAGTGTCGGCATTCGGGGCGGGCCCGCAAGTGCGCCTTTTTGACGCGTCGCCCTGGGCTGGTCTCACGTCTCCAGCTTTGGAGCCACCGCATGGCTTTCCATCAAGGATGGCAGTCGCTTGGCGTCGAGAGGCGGGAAGCACCTGGATAGCCGATCAACGTGCCCTCCGGCAACTGGTTCCAGCTATTATGTCATCATGGGCTAAAGATGAATTACCCCTGGCCCGTTTTGGGTCGTGCGAAACCCTCTGCCTGTTCCCCCACCCTCCCCTGCCTTGCTCCTGGTTTGCACATGACTTAATGAGACGATTTCATGAGATATACAGTAGAACTCTGCCAGCAAGTTACGGAAAAGCACGCTCCGTCAAGACCAGTTGCTTGGCAAAAGCTGGGAGGTTCCTGTCCCTCAGCAACGCAAAGAGGCCAAGCCGAAACCTTGGTTTCACGAAGCCCTGCAAATGCGCAAAGAACGCAATCAGAAAGCGAAACGCCAAGAGTGCTCAGTCCAGCAACACCCCGCTGAACTCCGTTGCCAGGAGCTGCTGAAAGGTCTGAGCCTCACAAAAATGGAAAGAAGTGACCCCAACTTGCCCTTGATAGGGAGATGCGCACCATCAGCTTGCCAGGAAATGGGGCTCGTGCCACCACCTCTGCTGGATTGCCTCATGGCACATGGAAGACAAAACCGACAGAACTGCCGGCTTTGTGCAGTTTGTGCATTAGCCCATCAGTCTGCAACATCTTGCAAGGGAGGCACGGAAGTAGCCACAGCCGAAGGCGCCCAGAACGACAGCATCGTGGCCTTGGCAAAGAGCCGGAACAATAGCGTGTAAGCTCCAATCAAGAGTAAGTAGCTCGACTGAGAAGCTGCAAACACACAATAACTCTTGCTTTCGTTTTGCTGAACCCTGTGCCTGCGACAACAAGTTTCCGAGACAAGGGCCATGCTCTTTGGCCATCCACAGCACTGTGCGGATCTTCTCCCGCAAAAGCTCAGGCCCTCAACATCGCGAAAATCGACGGAACACACAAGTCCAGACACAACGCGTGCATTGGCGCATGTGGGTTTCTGGCAGCTCTCCAGAACCAACAAAACATCTTCGAGCATCCCAATACCCTGGGTGAGCTGCGGGGTTTGGGTGCGGAGACGTGGAGAGGACGTCAGACTGAATCTCCGAAGCCGCGCGGAAGAACTGGTTCCGGACTTCATGGTTTCGAGCTTCGAAACACCGTAGGTTGGGGGGGTTTCCCTTGTCCTTGAAACCTAGACTTCTGTGAATACGCTGCGCAGCCGCTGTGGTGCAAAGCCAACCCAAGTGTGCATGAACCTACTTTGGGCGTCGGTGGGGCCCTACTTTGCGTGACCGTGGCATCTACTCTTTGTAACGCGGTTACGAAGTGCGCCAACATCCTGATGGTACCTCCAATCAAGTGTAAGGTTGCACCACCGTCTGGGTATCCATGCTGAAGGGTGGACTGCGCCCGACATCCTCCAATTGAAAAGAAGGCTCATGCGATGATCCCCAGAAACAACTCCCACAAAAAAAGAAGCGCTCTCTTGCTGCAGTTCGCTGTGCAGGGTGATCCTCATGTCCAACTTGCAAGGCTTTCAGTCCCAGTCCCAGTCCTGCGCCGCAACCGTGGCCACTGCGACCTCCGGGCCCTCTGCGGTCAGCAGCCGAACCTCGTGACAAAGTTTTGGACGAGTGTGCGACCCTACAGGACCAGCATCGACCAGGTTGCATCCAGGGTACATGAGGGGAGTAGATGCCCCCACACTCTGTGTGCTCGTAGAAAGGCTCCTTTGTCAAGACATCTTCGTGAACCTGTGCTTGACACTTAGTTTGGCCTGAATGCAAACTGTACTGAGTGCACACATCGGAGGCCAACATTCGAAGTACCGGTGGAACTTGAACACAGGGCTGGCGATCATCAAAGACATCCGGCACGCTGAGTACCGCAGTGCTGCAGCGGCTCATGAGGCACAAGGGGTGGTGGACAAAGCACGCCTTTTATGCCGAAAAACTGCGTGAAAGCCGGAGCCAAAGGTGTCATCTGGCCTGAGGCCAAGGAAGCCCCCGGGATGAGTGGCCCAGGAATGCCCCGGACAGGCAAGCATGAAAGCGCCGAACAATCGTGAGATGTGAGGAGTTTCTTCTGCGTGGCAACACTTTGCCAACCGGCAGTGGGCCCAAGAAAGACGGGCCGCGGACCCCAGCAAGAACATGTAGTCTTATATGCCAAATGGGAAGCCTTCCTCACGCAAACCCACTCGTGCGGACTCCTTTCGCGGCAGCAGCGCATCAAAGTCGCCAATCCAGGTGCCACGTTTCAGCACTCCGGGACCATCATCCTCTGCACGGTGGTTGCAGAGAGGTGTCGGGGTGGAGGGAGATGGAGCGCTGACCAAGATGGTGCTTGCAGAACTGTACGAAGCAGGTCCCTTAGTCGTTGGGAAAGACAAATGAAGAGAGAGAGGAGAGAGAAGGAGAGAGAAAGAGGCAACCAACAGCCAACAGCTCTGTCCTCTCTACGATGCGGCCATAGGCTGAGGAAAAGCCTCGGAACCCATTGGGCACTTGCACAACAGACCAGCAATGGACAACACAATGTTCACCGCACAACACGGCACGGCAATGTGTACTTCCGTATGACAACCTGTGGTTGTACATGTGTGTGTGTGAGATTGGCTGCATGCGTATGTGTTGGCAATACCTTGGCATTCAGGTGCTCACATAAACAAAACGGTTTCAGAACAGCACCTGCACTGCAGTTCCTGCAGCAAAACCTGGTCTATCTCTGCAGCTCTACGGGGCATCGCGTCGCAATTTCAGAGCCGGGCGAGGAGGAGCGGAAGATCGCCTCTTCCTGGCTGCCAGCTGCATGTTCGAAGCCTGCACAGGAAGCGAAGGGAACTGCGAGCACGCAACATGGGTTTAAGACATCGAGCCCCTCAACCCAAAGCGTATCCTCAAATTGTGCCCGCAATGCATGCGCCAACAAATTGATATATCTTTGTGTTTTTTTTTTGGGGGGGGGTAGGTAGCAGAGTCCCAACCTGATGCTTCACGTGCTTGCAAGGCCAGGGTTGTCTTCTAAGAACGCAACTGGCAGTCTCCAACCCAAGAAAGAAGCCGTTGCCGTCTCGGGCCGGCTTGATCCCAACAAGTCCCAACGGTTTTCAATTGAGTTCGATGTCCTCTCCATCTGAGTCATGAACTTGGGAGTTTAACAGTGCTAAGGAGGCTACATCGGCTACATCCACAAAATATTGAATATAAAAGAGATTCAAAGTGCTCGACTCCGAGCTTGGGATCGGGAAGCTCAAGTTGATGGAACTCTCTTGTGGCATCCTTGCGCTTTATGCTGATATGCTGCTTGGGGTGAAGGACCTAAGGAAGATCAAAGGCCAACACTGAGGTTTCAAGGCGCTGTCGCTAAGAGGGTTGCGGCGCAGGCCTCCGCCACAGTTGTAGCCATGCGCGAAGTTCAGTATGAGCACGCGCAACCCGAGATCTAGCGGCAGGATCACACACACACACATGCAGACTTAAGGGGAACAAACTTGGCATCATGCATACAAAGTATTTTGAACATTTGAAAACCAAGCTCTTCTCCCAGTCGCACCAGCTGCGACTTTTGCAGCATCCAGGGTTGGCGCCTTTCTCTGTGTCTGGGAGACGCATTCTTCCGTTGGGCACATTTCGGTGTTGCTGAAAGATGACAGAGAAATGGTTCTATTTCACAGACATGTGGCCCACAAGCTATGCTTGACCGTGTGCCCACCTCGAGAGTGCAAAGCAAAGTTGAGAGGGCACCCGAAGACGTCGCAGGCGCTGGACACCTCAGAAAGAATGGAGGAAAGTGGAGGGAAGTGAGGGTGGGAACAGTGTATGCACTACCGGCAACATACAATGCAGCCCAGCAACGCCATTGTGAAGGTGTAGTTGTGAGCAAGTTCCAAGCCTGTCTGAAACTTCGGATCATCTCAGGCAAAGTTGCATCTGCTGCGTGTGTGAATCCCAACTTCGAGGTGCTACGGTTCAACTGTCATGCTTTTCACGCCAAGAATCGGTCTCGCTCTTCAGCGGGCAGGCTTAGCAAGTGGCAGATTGTCTCATGCCTTGGGCCGCGTAAGCCAACATGTAAAACGTCAGAGCTTGCAAGTGCACAAAAACGGCGATGCACATGTTCCCATTCAAAAGCAAAACCAGAGGAGGGAGGGAGGGAGGGAGGCAGAGAAAGGGAGAGACAGGGAGAGAAAGTGAGAGAAAGGGAGGGAAAGGGAGCGAAGGGGATAAAGGGGGAGAAAGAAGGATCGAGGAGGGGGGAGAAAGGAGAAGACACGGGGAGTAATTGGGAGAAAGAAGAAGAAAGGAGGCGAAAGGGTGAGAAAGGGCAGAGATTGAGGCAGAGAGAGAGAGAGACACAAAGAGAGAGAGAAAGAGAGCGCGGCAGAGAGAGAGAGAGAGACACAGACAGAGAGGGACAGAGCGGGAGAGAGATAGAGGGAGAGAGAGCGAAAGGGAAAGAGACCAGCGAAGCCCTGAGCAACCGGCATATGCTGCTCCGCCCGAGACAGACTCTTTTGCGGCTTCGGCAGTGGTAAGGACATGGCGACAACACGAATTCGCCTGAAGACTCGTCGCCAATAAGTACGTGTGCTTGACGGCTGTCACTGCATAATATGCGGGCCGGCACATCGCAACTGAACGGGCAGCTCCCAAGCAGATCTTGAGCAAGAAATCCCGCAAATTGGAGGCTTTGTCATGGCCACTTCATCCTAACTTCCTGCCCTTTGCTAGGAGACAGATTCTGGCACGTCTCAAGATTTCTGGGTGCCATGCATTCATGATCATGAGCTCGTGGTCTCCCCGGTCCGCCACGAAAGCAAAGATGCCGGGCAAGGGCCTGCAATTTTGGGGAACTCTCACAGGGGAAGATGCGGGATCATGGGGGGGGGGAGGCCTCGGTCGGGGTTTCAGGCATGCTGCATGCTTGGAGTGGAAGATGGAAGACTCCGAGCTTCTTCCAGTGCCACTAGGTTGTGTCGCATTCGGGCAAGCTTAGAAAGTCACATGTCTGCACGGTGAAACGGAACGGATGCAACGTGCAGAAGCTCGGCATGTTCAGCCTGCTTGAGGTTCCTACTGTAGGGGTCACGCAGACAACGTAAAACGTCGAGAGCCCAGCAGAAGCAAGCGCCAAAGATCTCTGCGGCTGGCAACTGAAGCCAGAAACTCGCGATCAAAGGACTTCTGCATATACCTCTCGGCATCTCGCGGCAGTGGGTTCAACGGGCCGACTTGGGAGGAATGGCTGAAAAGACTGCGCGTTAATTGCCGCCACAAAGATGGTGTCGACATCTACTCGGTGCACGCAAATACTAGCCAAACAGGCAAGGTGACCTCCGAATGTCAGCACACAAGGCCGTGCAATCCTTCACCGACGCCGACACAAACGCCTGCCGCGCAGGCAGCGCATTCATCAACTGGCTTTTGGGAGCAGATGTGCCCTACAGTACCAACCACGGACTCTCGAATAGCGGCTTGCTGACTTGCTCTCATTACAGTGATTCAAAGATTCTCCGTGGCCGGCCCGTATCATCCCTCGATCAGCTGTCGGTCTCGCCTGAGTTGTAACACAAGAGAATAAGCGCCTGAACAGCAGCTCTCTCTATCTCTTGTCCAAGGGGCGACAGGAGCGGTAGGTGGCGAGTAGCGGACAGGATAAGCATCGACAACCATGCTCCTGCAACGCATCCCACGTAACACCAGCATCTAGGCGGGGCTTTTGGCAGCATGACGCAGCCCTGTGTCCATCTCTCCACCCACAGGTGGATAGCATTAGCACGGCAACGCAATCATCCTGGCCTCCCGTTTTTCGGGCACGGAGCCAAAGCAACGCTTGAACCAAGACCGGCAGAGTGCGATTCCCTCAGCACATGCGGCTTCTTTTGCCCAACCTTGGGTTCAGTGCAAGAGGCAGATGCAAGGGCCTTGCGTGTTTTTTTGCCCTCCCACGCGGCTTCCTGCTACTCCGCGTCATCTCTTCCCCTCATCTCTGCATGGGAGAAGCCTCGGAGGGATTCGGCGAGTCCTCCGGCGCCTGGAGCAACTTCCGGCCCGAGGTGCCCTTTGTGCTCTCTGCCTCCTCATTCTCCAAGGTCTCCCCGGACTCCCCCTCGCGCTCCTTTGCCCACAGGGGCCGACAGGCCCCGTACGCCTGGGGAAAGAGGGAACTGGGGAACAGGTGAAGAGGTATGAAAAGGAACATCACTTCAGTGAACCAGTGAACCAGGATATGCTGGTTAATGGCGAAGGCCCAACAGACCAAATCAAGGGACTGTGTGGGCACCCGCGAGGCACAGCAGGAGCTGAAAAGCGGCATACATGTTGCGGCCGCCGTAGTCTACCAGGAAGCGGCCGAGAAGGTCTCCAGTGAAGCGTGCGAGGCTGATGGCCAGCATCTTAAGCAGCTGGAACTGCGCCTGACCACGCCACGGCTTCCCGTGCCATGTTTTTGGTGATCAAGAGATCACAAACGCAACACGTAAGAACAGATGAAAGGCCTCAACCTGCACCTATTGGTCACGGGGTCCAACGCACAAAGGGTTTTTAGTTCCATTGCTGGCTTTCTCTCTATCGGAGGGGCGCCATCTTCCCAATGCAGAAAGTGGTGGCTCAAAAGCTTAATTGTCTATACATATATATATATATGTACTATAGCTACCATAGATATATATATATATATATATCTTCATTCATTCATTCATTCATTCATTCATTCTTTATTTATTTATTTTCATTTGTTTATTTATGTGTCGCGCACCTTTCAGACTCGGTACAAATTCTGGAACTCCCAAAGTGGGGTCTCGAGAGATGCGAACCTTGGACCTGCCGGTCGCATGGACGCCTTTGACAAAGCTGGTCTTCAGATTTGGGGTTCAGGGGTTTCGCCACCCGCACTGCGCGCACACAAGCACCCGCTCCGCAGGGTTAAGTCGAGGTCTCCGGGAGTGGGGTTCAGGGGTTTGGGGTTTAGGGTTTAGGGTTTAGGGTTTAGGGTTTAGTGTTCAGGGTTCTTTCCCCAAATGTTGGGTCCTGCTTTAACTGGAGATGGGAGGCAGCCCAGTGCCCCCGCCACCTGGCTGGCTGTCTTAGCAGACGTGCTGGTTCAGATAGAGCTTTGTAGCACGTTGACACAGAAATCTTCCGTTTAACGGGCTTGTTTGGGCTTGGGCTTTGTCTTTCTCAAAGGATTCAGGACCCGAAGACCCAGTTTTCTTTTCTTCTGCCCTTCCTTCCTCCGCTATGTTGATCCGGAGCCACACGCCTCCTCGACTATTTGGCGCGCGCCCTAGTGAAGACATCAACCTTCTCACCTACTAACCTCCAGCATCTGTGTCTTGGCCACAGCAACAACGCTGCTCTGTTCCTCTCTCCCAGGTCCCAGAAGTTTGCCTGGCCAAAACCAGTACCTTCCTTTGCTGCTCTCGACCCCCAACCATCGGCAATGCCATTGGCACAGGCGGCACCTAAGAGTGTCAAGATGTCACGTCCCCTGCTACTGCAGGACATAAGGGTTTCCGGGGTTGAGGAAGGTTTAGGGGGGGTTAGGGGGGATTAGGGTGGGATTAAGGGGTTTAGGGGGGGATTAGGGGCTTAGGGAGTTTAGGGGGTCTAGGGGTGAATCTCCGAGGCTCCCGTGTAAATCATAGTGCCAGCGGCGATGAGTGTCGTGGGCCCTGCATTGCCTTCGTCGAAAAGCAGTGCGCAGCCCAGCACCGAGACTACCATGGACCCAAAGTAAACGTTGGGCTCCCGCACGATGCCTGCGTTTATAAGAGATTTCAGTACAATGGCAAGGACGATGCCAGCCGGACACATGATGGTGAAGCAAAAGCCAGAGTGGTAGGCATCCCAGCCATAAAGCAACTCCAGCATCATGGTTGTCGACACCTCGATTGCTGCAAGCGTCAGGGGTCTCTCGCAGAAGTAGAGGACGATCTTCCAGTACACTGTCTGCCGGCCGGAGTCGTCGAGATCTTCTGGCCGAGCTTCCCCTGATAGCTGGAAGGAGCCCTCCTCCGACAAAGCCTCTGGAAGAGCATGGGGAAGCTCGGTCGGTATGCCAAAAACAGCGATCGTCAGGCTCATCAGATTCAAAACGGCCGAGAAAATACATACCCAGGCCATCATACTCCTTGGATTTACGGGCTCACCTCCGCGGACAACCATCCGACTCACCAGCAAGAATGCAAGCGGACCAATGGTCATGCCAGCATTTCGAGAGCACTGGCCTATGAAGGTCCACATCGTGCGATTGCCTGGATGCGTGACTTTAGTCCAAAGGACCACACACATCACACCTGGGATAGCTGCAATCAAGTTCAGCATACTGTTGTACCCTATGGCGATCCACCAGATAAGATTGACCTGGCTGCTTTGAGCAGTCCAGTTGTAGAAACAAGCATTGGCCAAGGCTGCAAAGGAGAGGAACCAAAAGATGAAAATCAACACCCTCCTCACGAAGAATTGTGCCCACTCCAGCTCGTTAACCAGCAGCCTCCCTAGCAGCGTTCCGACAATTCCTGCAACCAGTTGCGCTCCGACAAAGAGTCCCGATGCTGTAGCTGACTGCCCCAGGCTGAAAGCCAAATCCAGGGAAAGCGGAACCATCATGGCGTTCATCATGAAGCCTGCCAAGCCTTGGGCCCAGGGTAGTTTTTGAGAAGCTCTAGCTTATGACAACCTTCGGAAGAAGCGCAAGAAGCAAAAAAGCAAAAATCAATTCTCTCTTTTCGTGCATTCAAGCCCATGTGCCCAACCAAGTGGTCATGACTTGACACGACTTTCTCTGTAGGGGCTCATAGCTCAACATGATCTCGTTGTTGTAAGAGACATATCGCTCGTGCAAGAAGACAGCGATCCAGAAAGACAGGAATGGCACGAAGAGCGACATGCTAAAGTCGACAACTCTCCTTCGCAACCACTGGCCACTGGCCACTGGAAGAGAAGAAGGTCTGACAAAGTGAAAACTAAATTCCTCTTGCCCTGCCGATCTGTGCCAAGTTTCTCGCCCAACACGGGATGCGGAACGCCTGCAGTGGGTCGGTCGGATATGTGGATCGACACCAGCCCACCTGCTTGTGTATGACCTGAGCCGAAGTCACTTTCGACATGCTAACAGGAGGGAGCTTGCTGATTCACACCACAGCGAGTTAATCCAAGCGGTGACGGATAAGACCAAGGGCTCAATCCAAGCATTGCCATGCCCTCATCTTTTGCAAGCCGGATGTCCTTCTGGATGAAGCTGCTGTCGTCCGCAATATCCTCCAGACACCTGGCAAGGCGCAGCGTCATTGGCTGAAGACATCGAAGCCCCCCCGAGTCGTCACCACACGGCCACATTCTCCCGAACGCATTGTGATCCACCGACGGATGTTTCATTGATGCTTCACGGTGCTTCGTTTGACTTGCAGCTTGTCTGTAGCCTCCATCTTCGAAACTGCCGTCGTGTTGGACTATCCCATGCTTTGGTGGGCGCGCCACGAGCTTCTGCCCTTTTTCTTGGGGGTGCGTGGAGGGTGGCCTGGGGGGGGGAAGGGGGAATAACGTCCAGCCACATGGCGACAGTGCCTAAAACGCCGGAATCTACAGCACTTTTGCCTCCTTCTACAACACGCGCGCAGGGATGTTTGACGTTCAGGGACCAGAATATGAGGACTCAGCAAGGCCTTGCCTCTCATCTACTGTGCAGGTGGATCCATGCACAGAGCTCCAGAACGAAAGCCCAAAAGCCAGTGACACCAGCTTTTGGGGCGTCATATGAATGGACCTAAGCTTCGTCAGCACACGGCGCTCTGCAAGACGTGGCCCCTTCTTATCAAGGTCTCAACATGTCTCAACAACCAAGGCGCGGTTCGGTCGAACGGCTCAGGTCGTTTGCAAGGTCGTGGATCACAGCTCCACGAGGGCTTGAGCCAGCCATGTAACATGAGAAGCTGAGTGAGTGAGTGAGTGAGCGAGCGAAATGGCCGACAGATGTTACTGCGGCCTCCACCATCTCCCCCCCCCCGTATCGCAGCTCCGAAAACCATGAGAAGCTGAGTTATTGAATTGAACATAAATTCAAGAAAAAAACATTTCTTGTGTGCAACATCCTGGACCTGCATCTGGAAGCAACAGCTGTACTCCCCACACTCACCAACACCTTCGTCTTTTCCTGCCACGGATCTTCCTACGAGCGCTCGCTCTCTCAGAATCCGGGCCAGCAGCGTCAAACGTCGTGACAGAGTCAGAGTGATCGCAACAGCCACGTCGGACACGGCCTACATGATCATATTTTCTCTTCTGAATGTCCGGCAGGTAGATCTGCTTCGGCGGGAATATCTGTTTGCAAGCTCTGCACCCTTGCTTGTTGGTCGGTCGATGCATCCTGTGGCGAATGCCTGTGGCTGCAAGTGAAGAAGGTGGACGCCATGCCCGACCCGCATGGTTGAACTGATCTTGGCAAACCTCGTCACTCGTCAGCATGATCCTTGCCCTGGCGTAGCAGCATGTAGGCAATGTAGGCTAGAAGAGGAGGGCCATGGTCCAACTGAAGAACGCGCAGAAGCAGCACCGAGCTTCACTGCTGAAGCTCGGCATTCAGCACCTCCAGTATCCTTGGTCCAAATGCAGCAAACATGCGCACTGCTTAGGATCCGGGGAAGTCCCGCCAAGCATCTGCCGGCGCCCCTCCACGGACACGCACTCGACAATGGACTCGATGGCATTTGGGTCGTCAGACACCGGTTGATTCAGAATGATCCTGCCACTCAAATACACGAAGGCCGGTGTCACATGGTGTCACACGTTCAGGGCATTCACCACAATCTCCTTGCGTTGAGGGACGGCACAAGCAGTTCCGTCTTTTGTCCATCTGCTCCTGACTGTCCAGGCACAAGTCTAAGGATGCTTCAGAACTTCGTGCGCACCCAGCACTGCGCACCCAGCACTGCTCGTGCCCCTGCCTTCACCGGCTGCTACCTCCAGGCCTTTCGCCTCGAGTCCCAACCTGACGGCCTGAAAAACAGCTGGCACCCAAGGAATCACTGCGACTACGGTTGGGGACGATTCACCTCCCTTCTCATTGCACCCGATGTTGAGCAGGGCATCAGCCCAGAAATTCGAGGCCTCGCAAGGCGCATCTGGAGTCATCAGAGTTGGGCACAGCGCACGGGGACACGGCCTGCGGCGCCCAACGAAAGCACCCTCCAGCAGCTCCAGCATGGAGTCAGCTGGCCGCTTGCCTGCAAGAATCACGTGCGAGTGCTTTTGGGGGCGGATGTCTCCAGAGGATGCATCTTCGGATGCTTTGTGTTTTCCGGCGAGACAGGTTCGGGAAAAGCACCTGAAGAAGGCACATGAATCAGCATACGTGTGCATATGCACATGCTGATGTGTTCACATCTTTTCGTTTCGTCACATGTTGTGTCTGCAGCTATGTATGGTCCCCCAGCTCACACCAACCAGCTGCCATCCAAGTGCCTTTCTCGATCCGTGCCATTTGATCCTCTGGCAGCCAGCACTGCACGCGAGCAAGAGACCTCAGCGACTCGGTGCAACAAAGCAACTTCGAGAGTGCACTCGTAGTCCAGCCCTAAACCCTATGAAGGTACGAAGTTAGCAGCGACGACACTACCCATGACTGCGGCGTCTCAGAGCTGTGACTGGCACCGGCACTTCTCAATCGAACCTAAAAACCCTCGCAGGCCCTAAAGCCAAAACTTCAATATTATAACGTTGATGGTTGGATTGATGGCGATAGCGCTGATGGTGATGATGACAACAAAGGCAGCGAAGGCCAGGCTCTGATGATGATGATCATAGGGATGGGGATGGGATGGTGCTGCTGTTGGTTGTGAGGGTGACGGTGGGGCCGATGACGAACATGAATACTATGGCAATTTTCTTCCCGACTGAGGAGCTTTTCGCGCTGCCGGCTCTCTCTCTCTGGGCACCTGCATAGATCGTTCAACGGACGAGGCGCAAATCTAGGGGCACGTTCACGAACTCTGCGGGTGGCAAGACCAGCGGAGCACTCTGAGCCTGCAGATGCCAGAGATGAGTCAGACTCAGACCTGGATCCAGTTTGATTCGGGCGCCACTTCGGATACTTAGGCATGTGGCAGGGTGTCGAGCCTTGAGTCTCGACGAGCTTTCGAGAAGCTCAGCAGCACCCCTGGCAGCTCCAACCAGCCCATCTCTCGACTCGAGAACTCGTCACTGTCCTCGCACCTGGCCACCAGCAGGCGCGAAGACGTCAGGCGCCGAATCTCCTCGCAAGGTATGGGTAGCGCAACGGAGCGCCCAGGGTAGCACATCTGTATGAGGCGAGGCGCCGATCCCAGCAGCCGTCGCCGAAAAGGCTGGCCGAGGCCTGGCTCTCTGCAAGGAGCCGCATGTTCTGCTACCTAAACCCTAAACCCTAAACCCTAAACCCTAAACCCTAAACCCTAGGCCCTGTCTCAATTTTGGCTTTACTAAGCTTTACTAGGTACCAGCACGGGGCCAAGTTGCATCGAAGCTGACATCCTGCCAAAGGCGCATCGCTCCGCAGAATGCGAGATTCCGGATTCTTTGCCTAGAATCAACAGATGTTAGCTCAAGGTTCTGTTGGGCAAGTCAAGCAGCAACGCATTGTCTGAATCACGTCAGGTCTCCCAACGGCCATCGAAGTCTTGAGCCGTAGCTTGGGAAGCCAGGACCATGCAGGGCCTAGGCATGCGTTACGCATCATTGCAGAGTGACTGTCCATGTCAAGCAGTTCCGGGGCTCACACTCCTGGTACAGCTCTGCAAGTTCCGACACGGTCTCAGCCCTTAGTAGCTTGGTTTCGGGCTTTGCCTCGAAAGCGACGAACACACTGGCCCTTCATGCCAAGCCACAAAACAAGTCGTCCGCTCTCACACAGCGCATCAACCAGGAAAGGATGCTCGCCGCTGTGGGCCCGATCCTCACACGGGAACCAGACAGGTGCCCAAAGGATGTCTCTTGTGGAATCATTCCAGCACAAGTGGTGGACAGATGCCCTGACTGAGCCACATTCTGTCGAGCTGCCAAGCATGTTTTGGAGGCAAACTCTGCGAACACCCCGCAACGCCTGCAAGGCAAGAAAGCATGGCTTCCCGAGCGGCACTAGCACGACTTCAACCAGATTCAGCTAGTGCACACGAGTTCTCTCCGATTGCAAGCAAAGACAGCAAGTTGCAGGGATGAATGTTCGTGAGAAGAATCGGCAGAATCGGCCAAAGACATCGGAAGAGGGTCAGGGGAAGACATGGCTATAGGGGACGAAGATGTACCCTGGAAGCCATACATCAGAGCTTCCGGAACTGGGAAGCCAGTGTGGAAGTAGGCATTCTTGGAGGCCGTTCACGCATTGGCACAGCGGCCCATGGTACTGTAAGCTTCTTCATTCCGATTTCTGACGGTGAGATCGCATAGGATTGGGCTCGGTGCGATGGAGCGTGCCCAGGAAGAGCTCAACTGGAAGAAGCTCGGTTCGAATCTTCTGCTCAGGTAGATGGGAACCAGATCAGAAGAGGGTCCCTAGCAGGTCACTTAAGTCGCCGACTCTCAAGCCACCGCTGGCAGGTCTTCGGTGTCCATGGGCCTGAGCAGAACGCACCATGCTCCTGCTGAGAGAGAGAGAAAGAGAGAGAGCTTGCAGGTACACGAAAGAAATAGACATGCGCATCTTATATATCCATATATATATATATACATACATATATATATATATATACAAACATATATATATATATGTACATACATATATGTATATATACATATATATATATATACATATCATACATCATATATGCAGATATGTCTTTTGTGTACATCCATACATCTCAAGGCACTTTTCTCGAGGCTGCGGGGGTTTGTCTGAAGCTCTGGGAACCGCGCCGATGGTGAAACCCTTGGGAACTGTAAAAGAACCGAGGGCATCTGCAAAGCAAACTTCTCTGCTTGTCCGAACAGGCGACATCTCTTCGAAGAGAGCGGTTCTTTTGCTTAATATACCATGAAAAGTCCGACTCATGGAGAGGGTCTTGACAAAATCTCTGCATTTTGGCTTTTCGGCCTTGCGGGCAATGCCACGCAACAGCCTTTCGGATTTTGCGGAACTCACGAGCCAACCGTCATCTCATAAGGCAAAGCATCGTAGCATGTCCGAGTCGTAGCCCTAGTTCCTAGGTGTAAGTGGCTGGGTCGATGGTCGGCGGGATGGGCTGAATTTCCGTGCCCAGCTCCTTCTCGACGCGGTACAAGTTGAAGCGATCCTCGTAAGTCACAAAATTGATGCCCAAGCCAAGGTGACCGAAACGGCCAGAGCGGCCAATGCGGTGCAGGTAGGTCTCCGAGTTCTTGGGAAAGTCGAAGTTGATCACGACATTCACAGACTGGATGTCGATGCCACGCGTGAACAGGTCAGAGGAAACCAGACACCGGCAAGCTCCGTTGCGGAAGTCATGGAAGACTCGGTTTCTGTGGGACTGGTACATCCGCGAGTGGATGAAGAAGCAAGAGTAACCCAACTCTGTGATCTTCTTTGCCAACAGCTCCACTCGGGTCACGGAGTTGCAGAAGATGATGGCCTGGTTGATCTGCAGCTTGGAGAACAGGGTATTGAGGCAGTGAACCTGGCAACGAAGGACATCTGATATGACATAAATGCCTTGTTCATGCTAGCACAAGTAAGGTGCAGTTGTCGGAAAGACGATTCCATCTCCCAAAGCGACAATGACAAGTTAAAAAAGCAACTCACCAAGCAGCCTTCTGGCGCTCCTCCACGAATGCATAGTACTGAGAGACACCCTTCAACGTCAGCTCATCCATGAGGTTGATCTCATGGGCATCCTGCATGAAACTGTTCTTGAAATCCAAGATGGCGATGGGGAAGGTCGCCGAGTACATGAGAATCTGCCGGTCTTGCGGCAAGAACTTGATGAGGTCCTCAATAATGGGCTTGAACTCTGGGCACAGTAGCTTGTCAGCTTCGTCCATGGCAACGATGGAACACTGTTTCAGGTTGCATACATTCTTGTTCGCAAGGTCCAGGACACGGCCAGGAGTGGCCACGACAATGTGCACCTTGCAGTTTCGGATCTCAACGCGCTCAAGCAGGCATGCACGCACGGCACGCACGCACCCGCCCGCCCGCCCACCCAGCGCGCCCACACACACAATATACACACACACACACACACCGCGGACCTCATTGTAGAGACGCATGATGTCTTCGCGAAGGCTTGTTCCACCTGTAGAGACCATGCATTGAACGTTCATGTGCTTGCCGATCTCCTTCACCACTGAAGACGTCTGCAATGCCAACTCCCGTGTGGGCACAAGAATGAGCCCTTGGATTGCATTCTTCGTGGTGTTGCATTTTTCCAGAATGGGAATGACAAAGGCTCCGGTTTTTCCGGTGCCGTTCTTTGCTCGGGCAAGAATGGATTTGCCCGTCAATGCAACTGGCAAGCTTTCCTCCTGAATCGGGGAGGGCTTCTCGTAGCCCATCTCAAAGATCCCCATCAAAAGCTCCCGCTTCAAGAAGTAATCTTCAAAGTCATTGCCTTTTGTGGCAGTCACATCCTCCGTCTTGTAACGCTGGTCTGGGGGAGGGCGGCGAATCTGTGCTTTCCAATCCTCTGAGTCAACGTCCGCCTTGGTCTCAGGCTGCTGCGGAGCAGGACGCTGAAGTGGAAGCGATTCGGTATTGACCTCAGAAGAGTACAGGGAAGAGGAACAGCTGGAACCCCATACATGCCGACATGCTTCAAAAAAACGTCCAAGTGTGCCGAGCTACTCCAATCTGTGGATAGGCTCCCATATGGCCCCCCTTGCCCTTACCGCCGGACGGGTACCCCATGGCCACCTGAAAGCTCGCAATATAACTTAACAAATCAAAGCTTGTGAAGCTTCTTTGTAAGCTTGAGCAGGCCGGACGAGCAGCAAAGGAGAGTCACGGTTGCCGTACTGATAGGCACGACAGCAGGCATTTAAGATGACCGACAAGTTGCTCAGGTCCTGGCAGGATGTTGTCCTACAGGCTGTCGCCGTAGCACGGCTTGCCTCTGATCCATAACCCAGGCTTAGGAAAATCCGAAGTCCTCCTGGACCGGAAGAGCCTACGGACTCATGGCTCATGGCAGAACCCTGTGTCGGCAAGAAGGGCAATGACGTGTTGGCCGGCGGAATGTTGAACAAGGCGAAGTCGGCACGAAGCTTCCAGTGCCTCGAGATTCTTTCACCGTGAGCCTTCCTTCCTGGAGGCACTGTCGCTTCTTCAGCGAAGCTGCCCCGACTCTTTCTAGGGCACCTCTCCCCCGACAGAGCCGCCTCCGAAGGCATCGCATATCAGAACATCAAGACAGTGGTTGCCAAGAACAACCCGGGCCAGCGCTGCCCCATGAAGGGCAGGACGAGAAGGCACGGCCACGGATAGAAACAACGAGGGGTGCGACGCACTGCGAGCACGAGCCACCAAGAGCCACAGATGGTGGTCACGGACCGCTCTTCTCCCAAGAAGACTTGTAGACATTCTCAGACCCTCTCAAGCCTGAGACTCTTCGACTCCCCATCACATCCCGAGTCCAATGCGTTCCTTGAAACTGCGCCTTCAGACTCAAATGCACCCGGATGCACCTCAGGCGAAGCGCGGGTGCCCCACAAGCGAAGATTGGGCCTTGGCACCTGAGTGCCGAAGATGCCAATGCAATGCGAAAAGTGCGCATCGAACACTTTCGCAAAGAAGTTACGACAAGCAATCAGGAAAACTCTGAAGAGTCTTGGGGGCAAACTCAAAGCAAAATTGCCGAGGCTTGCGCTTGTCAGACAACTTTGCGATCTGGCGTGCTAGAGACATCACCAGGTCCTCAGTGAAAGCCTGCCCAGAAACGAATCATGGCGCGGACTTTCCGCAACACGAGCCAAATCTGTCCCTGCCCTGTACCTGGTCCGGCCCGATGGGAACCAGTACGTTGCCACCCCGACCGAGAGCAGCCGAGGCCTCATGTGAGACTCTGCGAGTATCAAAGGAATTCGCCACAAGAATCAGCAGGCCTCTTGGGAAACCTGTGGCAGGCTGGCTCGAATCTCGATGTCCCCGTCATGGGCTAAGCCTCGGCCATCACGTCTCTACAGCATCCCAGCTTTGCTTCGTGGTTGTGTAGCCAGGCGGCACAGGCACACGACTAGCTCAGCTTTGCTGAGAGCCTGCACCGGTCCAACCACTCACAGACCGGACACATTCATGAAAGACGGGAGAAGAAGCCTCAACTTGTAGGTGCTTAGCCTCCGTGTCCAGCCCTTGCGCAACGGGCACCGAGGCTGCACAAGCCGTGCCGATGACCGCCATGCGCACGCCCAAGGCCTGGCAGACACGAAGCTCACGCCTGGGCTTAGCCGTGACAAATGGGTGCGCGCGGGAAGCTTTCTCTACGTGATGGCCCTTGGAGGACCATGATGGCAAGAATGGACCACATGAACAGGACAGAGCCTCGAGGCACCAAAACGAGCCGCCCAGACTGCCACCTTTCAAAGGTCCGCAAGTCGGTTGCCATGTCTGGGTCGTTGCATGTCGTTGCTCACCCATGCAACTTGCTCAGAAACTGTAACTTTATATAGCAAGTTTTTGGATAGTGAAGAGCAAGACATCTGGCCTGATGGAGCTGCACTTAGAAAGACCGGGCCGTTCTCGCCCTCCACGTCCATCTCCTGGAATCGTTACAACTTCAGAAGCCGCCCCAGCAATCTGCTGTGATCATGACAGGTTCGTGCGGAGGACAAGGGCTACAAGAGACTTTTTTCTTGCCGGGCCTGTCCGTAGCTGACCTCCTCTGCACCGGAAAAAGCTCGCCGCAGCTCCTCCGGGCTGATGCTGCTGTCACCTGCCAGCTTCAGCTCTACGGGACCATAAGGGACTCTAAGGGACCCTAAGAGACCCTAAGGGACCACAAGGGACCACAAACACGCTAGGCACATCACCATGTAAAGCTCCTGCCATGTCGAGCCTGTCGAGGTGCTCAGCCAGGCTTTGGCCGCCTGCAGTGTCGTTATGGTGTTGTTATGTATTGCAGTGAAGACATCCCCATGGTTCACTGCAACTAACGAGAAAACAAGCATTTGCCAGGCTTTTCCTGCAGCGCCAGGATGAATATTGGAGATGGTGCGAGACAGGTGACACGCTGGCACCATCATTTGGGGCGCCATTCCCTCGGCCCAGTGTTGGCTGCATCCGGAAATAGCCGGGTGGCATCCGGGTGGACGTAGCATTGAAGTTCTTGGAGGCGCCTCCTGAGGCAGTGCTTGTGCGTCCGGCTGCGCCTCTGAGATCCTTGGAGCCTCAGCTGCATCCTGGGCATTCTCCGGGGGTGTCGGCATCAGTCCCTGGACTTCAGAAACCACCAAAGTTCCGCCGAGAAGTTCACGTCCAAGCCGTGCACATCTGCAAACTCGTTGACTGCTCTGACAACCCCGGGCCACGTGATGGTGTAGTCCTTGCACGCGGCAGCATGCCCAAGTCAACGAGCATGCCGCATACCCTGTTTAATCCAAACAACAACAGGCCCCATCCCTACGAACTCGAAGAATGAGTTCACACCCACTGGTCAAACCAGGCTGCATGCCCCACCATAGCCCCACCATCCCGAAGTATCGGCCACCAAGCATTCAGGTCGGAGGCAACACCTTCGTAGCTGTGATCGCCGTCGACGTAAACAATGTCCATAGAATTCCTTCGCAAACTCTTTCGAAGGGACCAGCATTCGATCCAGGGTGGAATTAGGCAGCATGAGCTTCCAATTTTTTGAAGCACCCTGGCTCCTGGACACCCAACCGGCTGCCTCGACAGAGTGCTGCAAGAGGTGGGTGGCCCGATACCGGAACGGCTGCGTGCGTCGCGTCCCGATGTCCAATGCCTGACAGACGTTTCCGCGTTCCAGCTTGCAAAAGGGCTTCCCTTACGGATAATGATGGACAATGACGGGCCTCGACGGGCAGTCCTTGTGGCTGATCTTCGGCCACGCCTGCACTCTGACGGGCACAGCCGTCACCATACAGCCTGCGATGCTTTCATTACACGAGCCTTCTGCACGCAGGTGGTAGGGATCGACAAGGAGCATGTGAAGATTTTGAAATTCAGCGAGAAGGTGTGCTGACACATCGCCATACCAGACCCCGATCTCCGCCATGTTCAGATCCCTGTCGCCCAAGGTTTGCTGCTGCTGTCGCAAGAGCGCTTCTAAGCCCTCTTCGCGAGTCACGCCGAAGTCAGAGCGCCACTGCCAACGAAGCTTGCGAGCAATCTGCTGCGGGCCTCGGGGCACGGCTTGGCACAGGGACAGAGGCTCCTGTACTCGATAGGGGCACTTGGTCCAATCCAGCCTCCAATAGCCCAAGTTCCCACAGTCTCCAAGCGTTGAGCGGCCTCCACATTGAAACTAAGATACGTGGCTTACCACCACCTACCTACCTGTTCCGACACGAAATCACACTGCAATGCAACTCTCATCAGACAAGCCAAGCCCAATTACCTCTGCCAAGCTTTCAATGCACGCCAAGCCGACATTTGCGATCTCGTTGCACTGACCTGAGACCCAACATGCCCATGATGCTCCCACGTGTTTTGCCGCTTTGCATCCCTGCCTCGTGCAAAGCCTGCACGCAGCATCCGGCAGTCGGGAGACATGCTCCCCTCCAGCTCCTACACTTTGCAAGTACTTGGCCAACATGCCTACAACCGCTCGTGGCTGAAGGTGTTGGTGCTTCTGCTCACACTTTAAAATGTCGATGCACGCAATGTCTCACGATAACTCAGTGGCGCATGGAGCGGCACAGTATGGCACGGGTATCAGCCACGGAGTTAGCTGAGCTGGCCACACCGCAAACACTCTTCACAGTCGAAAAAAGGCTGTCATGCTTAGTAAGAGTTCTCCAATGTTCGATTTTGGGGAAGACGCTCTCAGCCCTTTTTTGCTGTGCCGTTCTTGTCGGGCCCCCTGAGGTTCTCAACAACACTGGCTTGTCGCCTGTACGACTGGGCAAAAAAAAACCGAGAAGAATTGGAACACAAATCCCAGGAACCAGACTGGCGGTGACGGCGAGACCCAAGCTTAATGAGCCGGCGATCGTTTGTCCGAATTAGTGTGCAGGTCCAGTCATGCACTCACTCATGTTGGCGCTCGAGGCAGTAAAACGAGACTCCAGGTGCAAAAACATGCCATAGACATGAAGGCATTGCGCTCAACGACCTGCAACACCTGGTTTTTGGAATCCTACGAAACTAGCGGCACACGAGCTGACGCCAAGACCGCATTACTTTTGCAGATGCATTGGTCATAAAAAAGCTTCGTTGCCGACGGCCACTTGATAGTCCCTTGCATGCTAGAGATCCGAAAGGCAGCATGTCAGAACAGCAGAAGCACAAACAAAATCAAACAACAACAGCTTGATGAGTCTCCGTCCGCTGGGCGACGGAGGCCACGAGCTTCAGCACCTTGGCTGATGAGCATGAAGCTGTAGGATCTTCGGGCGCTTGGCATGTACCAGGCTTAAATCATTCAACTCCAGTCTATTCCGGGCTCGCTCAGCAGTCGGAGTGGAGAGGACAGCTCATTCCGAAGTCTTCGGAAAGCGTTGGCTGGATTTGCATCAGAGCCACCGGCGCAGGAGCTTGCAGCAGAGACTGTAGTCGCCTGGCTTCACGGAGCAGTTCTGCATCTCCTGTACAAGGTGACCAGAGCACTTCGCGCATCTCATCTCTCATGCATCACCGCGCGCATGGCGGCTCCACGACGTAGCGGCAAAGAGTCCAAGGACCCATCAGGAGCACAGTCTCATGTGCCACAACATATCATTTCTCAAGCAGTACGCCAGCCTTGCTGCAGGGCCGCTTCCAAGCCTGTGACAACAAGCCAATGGTCCCACCGAATCCTACTCTTGTTGGATTCATCACAACAGCAAGTGGCTCCAAACGACAGACTCCGAACAGATTTGCACGGCACCTGCAATGGGAGGCGGCGCCGCTGCAGCCAGGCGAGGGCCCAGGCAAGTGGCCTGAAGGCTCGCCAGGGGCCACTGCAGAACAGAAAGCGTCAGCCAACAGCAAGAGAAGCATGGGATAGCGTGGGCAACATCGCAAGAGCAGCGCGACCAGCCAAGGCTCGAAAAGGCGGCTAGGACCTAAGGATTCTGCAGACTACGAAGCCAAGGGGCCGCCAGTGCTGGAGCAAGCCCGGCAGCCGCCCGGCGAAGCGAGAAGGCCAGGCTTCGAAGCTGCCAGGCAGAAAGCCACGGTCAGGTTCTCGGGTTCCCCTGTGGATGGTTGTTTTTTTTTATGCCATTTTCGGAACTAGTCTTCCAAGCCATTCTTTCCTGAACGATCGCGAGAGTACACCATGTTTGCTGGAAGGCCTAAGAAGAACAGCCCTACTTTGGAAATCTTGACACGTGGGCTCTCCGCTGCTCTGGCAGTGGCACCTCTGCACTTCCTGGCCAGTCAAAGGGGTCCTGGAGCTGGGGATACACGTCGCTCACATAGCGCAGCAAGGCCTCCTCGGCTTCACTGAGGCTCTTCACGGATCACTGGGCATCGGGGAACTTAAGTGCTTTCAAGGGGCGGCATCTCCACGAGCCACGGCCTCGAGCAGAAGGGGGTGATGTTGACCGAAGCCCCCAACCAGCCCAGCGCCCGCGAGGAAGCCGGCGAGGAAATGCAAGCCCGTCCAGACCATCCGAGTGGACCGAGTGGACCATGGGGCCTGGTTCGAGTACCTTAAGAAGTCCTTGCGCTCGATGGGCGTTGATTTGCCGTTGCGCTTGCGCAGTGCTACATGTCCACGTGTCTTCTGCTGCAAAAACGGACCAAGCACTGTTGAACCAACGAGCCTGGCGACTGTGACAGTACAATCGGTACAAGTCGAGACCAAGAATGCCAGAGATTGCACGAGTGCCAAGTGGGTCCACCTGCAGCACCGGCGCTGTGCCCAATAAGCGCGGTGGTGAATCAGACGCCCGCCTTGACCAGAGCTCGTGCACGAAGGCGAGGGGGGTGGGATTTGGGATGATTTGGGTTGACATGATCCGGCGCACGCATCCAACATGCAGAGGCTCGTGGCGTTCTTTTGCTGCGCTGCGGTCTAAGTCAGACTTGTACTCATGATCGAATTCGAAGCGGCATTGTTGCTTGGTGCCCGTCAGATGGTGTGACTTTGCCACATCTCATCACGGACAATTGGTCCGCGGTAGAAGAGCCCGAGGGCTTGCATTAGTTTGTCCCGGAGTCTGCCTGGACCATCCCACAAAGCCCCGACTGCTATCCAAGAACAAGAATGCTGACAAAATGTGAGCCAAAAATGTGAGCCACAAACGTGCCACAAAGCGCACAGCAGACTGTTGGCACGATGTGCACAGCCACCTCAGAGGCCTCTTCAGGGGCTCTCGGATCTGAGAAAGGCTGGGAGCGCTTCGTCGGCAAGTTGGCAACAGACTCGATGACTGTCGTAGTGACTCGCAGCGCGAACGATGCAGGGACGGTATACACACGCAAAACACGGCAAGACTATTTGTGGCACAGCACAGCCGGCGCAACACTAAGAACATAAGGTCTGTTGCCCATCGCAAAACAAGAAGCCCGGCAGAAGGTTGGTCAGACTTCAAAGACCAAAGGTCAGAAAGCTTCGGTTGATGACGCTCAGACCTTAGGTTTGAATGAAACGCCCACCAACCTCCAGTGTGATTCACGTTTCCCTCGATGCAGGCCCGAGCAATCAGGCGCACAGAAGACGACGCAACTGTCCGATAATGTGGTGCAGGTACCAACGCATCGAGGACTGCCCAAACGTCTGGTGCGCTTAGGGCATGGGTCGGCTTCACCGACAAAATCGTCCTTGAGCACTGCCAGTGTTCACGCCTCTAGATCCTCTAGTACTTCCCAGTACCTTTCCGTACCTTCCAGTACCTCCCTTGGTATAGTCTCGTATGCGCATATGAACACGGCAGTCCACCAGGTCGACGTGGTCAGGGCACGGTGCCCTGAAAAGAATCCTAGACGGTCCTAGACCCCTTTCGGGGTTCTCGGGGGCATCCGACTAAGTGGGAGCAGCTTCCCAACCAAATCTTAGAAGTCTTGAAGCACAAGCTCAGACAGGCTCAATGCTCCCCGCTGCTGCTGTCGCCATGCTACAAGCATCTACAAGCTAATTCGGGTGGATGGGATAATCTCCGCCCAGTCAGAGACCTGGGGGCACAAGCACACAGCTGAGTCTTTGACTTTCCCGGCACCAAGGGATCAGCACACCACGCCCTCCGCACCTGCTTGGAGTTTTCGCCGGTCTCATCCTGCAACGCTATGAGCTCAGCCAGACTGTCCAACCACACAGGTGCAACGGCCACAGCTGGAAAGCGGAAAGCTGACACTTTCGTAACCGGATGAGGCCCCAGCGATTGTGGAATGAGCCGTGGACCGATGACCTGAGCCGAAAAGCCAAACCCTAAACCCAAAACCCTAGTGACAGGGGCAGTGCTCCAGAAGGAAAACGAGTTCTGGTTGCCAAAGCAGAAACCAGGAGTAGGAAAAAAGACTGTCCTATGCACACCTTTGCTATTTGAGGATTTCTTTTGCCAGCATTTCGGGATTAGCCACAAGCATCTTGTCTCTGATGCAGACCCAGGAGCTCCGGCGGGTGTCCAGGGGCGCCGCCTGCATAAACATGAAGTACTGAAACTTTTCTGGGCTCAGGGTCCTACTGTGATCTGTTGGCCACCTTCTCTTGGTAGAGATACTCTGGATACTCTGGGGTTGGGCACTCCAGGGACACTCTGGGGCTGGGCACTCCGGGGACTCTGGGGTTGGGCGTTGGGCACTCCAGAGCACTCCAGGGAGAATCTGGGGCTGGGCACTCCGGGGACACTTGGGCACTCCAGGCAAACTCTGGGGTTGGGCACTCCGGGAGACTCTGGAGTTGGGCACTCCAGCGCCGAGGGTCCGGATGTTCGAAGTAAAGTAACTCTCCTGTTCTTTCTTCTTCTTCTTTTTTTTTTTTTGGGGCGGGGGGGGGGGGGGGGGGGGGGGGGGGGGGGGGGGGCGTCATTAGTTTCGTGGCTTGGGGGGCCTTCGATCTTGTCGGATGGTCCTGGCTGCCAAGATCTGTAGCTCCAGGATTTTAGGATTTTCTTGCTCATGAAAGCTCGACCGGGCCTAGGAACCAGCTCCGTTGATGCAGGTTTGTTTCCATGCAGAGTGCAGGACTTGCTGCTGGCCACAAACGCCACTGGGCATCAGGGGCGCCGTGGTGATCAATCGAGAGAAGCGACGTACATTGAAACTGCTCATAGCAGCCCAAACCTTTTTCAACCAAACTTCCCAAAGCCCCACTTAACTTCCTCAACTTTTTCCCGGGTTTAGGGTTTAGGTTTAGGTTTAGGGTTTAGGTTTAGGGTTTAGGGTTTAGAGTTTAGGGTTTAGGGTTTAGGGTGTAGGGTGTAGGGTTAAGGGTTTAGGGTTTAGGGTTTAGGGTTTAGGGTTTAGGGTTTAGGGTTTAGGGTTCAGGGTTTAGGGTTTAGGGTCCCGCTCTTCTCTCCCCGTAAGTCGGCGCCTCGTTGATGTCAAAGAGGACGGACAAGGACTTCGCACCAGGCCAGGAGTCCACCAGTGCCGTTGTGTGCGCCAGCCTGCTTAGGGTTTAGGGTTTAGGGTTTTGGGTTGAGGGTTTAGGGTTTTGGGTTTAGGGTTTAGGATCACAACAACCACTACGAACATCCACTAGTCAGCTTGCTGAGTCAAGCGACCTCCAGAGAAGACCTTCTCCGTCGGTGTTCTGCCGCCGCATCTTGTTAGAGTTGCTGCTCTTGGTGGCCTGCAGGAACAGAGGACCATCCTTTGAGACAATCAATGGTTTCTCGGACAGATTATGAGGCTTAGGAACTTGCAAATGTCTGACGCGCAATGTCGTTCTCGGACAGATTATGAGGCTTAGGCAATGTCGTGAAAAAGCCATGATCCACACTTGTGGGCCAACTTGAGAGCCTCCACGCTGAGGACGATCTTCGACTTTCCTGTGTGGGGCGTTCCCGAGTCTTCCAGTGTCAGGTTGATCTCCTGCACATTCACAAACCACGAAAGCTAAAAGTAATAATAATCATCATAACAATAACCATACGAACAATAGTAACAAGAATAATTTAATCATACTTGTTATGATTATGCGGTTGGTTCAAGACATGGCTTCCTTTTGGCCAACAAAGCGCCTGGCTCCAGAGGAGACTGGCTTGAGTTCTCGCGCAGTCTTGCACTTCAAGGTGTTCAACCCAGATTATGGGCTCAGCTCCTACGAATGGGGCCCCCTCACATGCTGGCTGCACTGCGTACATTCACTTCTGTAGAAGTCATGGTTGCGAGGATCGCAGGCTTTCCGATTTCGTACGAAAACAAAAGGCGGGCTCCTTTCTTGTGGACGGGTTGAGCCAAGCTTGAAACTTGGTAGGGATTGCTTGTCTCAGTGGAAACTGCTACAGAGTGAAGAAGCTGGGGTGGGCAATTGGTTTTGTTTTCTGTTCCTGATGCCAACAAGCCCTCAGCTGCTCCCAAACCTTCAAACATGGTTCTTGCATGCTGTTTTTGCCCGTTCAAACACATGGAAATAGCAAGACAAGAGTATACGCAGCGGCCCCGATGTCTTCAGCAAATAGGTGGCCCGCACATCTCTCGGCTTCAGCCCGCGCCTCGCCCCGACTTTGGCTGATGCCTGCGTAAAGCCGGCGCAGCCTGACAAACTCGGAAGCCATCACACCATACCCATTCCCAATCACAGCCAGCGGCTTTGCCTGGCGCCCTTGATTGGAAACTTCCAAGCATGGAAGGCGACGAAGAGCTCGCACAAAGGTGCCCAAAACCCGATCCTCGGCAGCTGGCTGCTGATTGAACAAATACTGCTCGAACTCTGTTGGCGTGTTCTGCGAAGCATTGCCGAGCCACACCGCGCGGACATACCAACCTTATGCCCAAAACACAGCTGACGGGGGCAAGAAAGGCAGTCCAGTCAATCATGCAAGCAGAACACTTCATGCATGGGCCACATCATCAGCAGCAGCAGCATCATCAGCATCATTCAGCTGCAGCTTCCCTTGACCGCCAAGGCGCGCAAGCTCTCAGGCTGCATTGCGATAACGCCAAGGAAGCACGTGTCGATGCATTCCTCATGTCAGGGGTCACAGAAGTTTGCAAACGCATCATCTGTGAAGAAAAGAAAACGCCCCCATGTCCAAATTGCGGGCACAGCAACACCGACAGCGCCGGTAGAGTCAACGATCTGCTTGGTGGAAAGGTGCTTGCACTGTGCCTGGTACTAGAAAACTTCAAACTAGTGTGCACCATGTCTGGGTGATTTGGCAAAAAGAGCCGCCCCACTTGCACCGACATCTGGGGTCGGGCCTCACAGTTCACCGTCTCCAGCCCCGCGAGCCCCAGGCCCAGAAAGGTCAGTGATGAGAAAATCGCACCTACAAGAGTGGTGCAGCTCAAGCAACCTGTGCTGGCATCTGGTCTGCATACTATGGGCCAATGGGACAAGAAGCTCAGTTAAAACCTGGCACTCAACACGACAGCACAATGCACATGCAAAAGCCTGATGGAATGAGGCGGGGACAAGCTCGCAATGTCCGCAACAATTGTGCACAGTCGTGTGCTCAGACTTGCTCGGCATGATGTGATGATGTGTTCCACGTGTGGTTTCTTCCACTTATTTTGGGCCTGCAAAGTTCTGCGTCATGGCCAGCGCGCCAAAAATGACGCCTGGGGCACGGCGCGGACGGAGTGTCGGGGGAAGCAGGGACATAACGGGTAACTGGTCCCGGCCTTGCCGCCGTCGTCCTGGCACCTCGCCAAAGATGCAATCCTGGCGCACAGTCACAAAATCCGCGAGGTTTTTCCGTGTTTTGTGTCGTTACTTTTCCCTCCCTAATCCTTCGCCTACGGCTGAGTACTTGGACTGCTTTCCACAACGTGGCTCCTCGTCGACAAGCCAGCACTGAGCTGAAACCCGCCTGCAGTCCGACAAGGGGAGAACAAGGCCCCCAATATCTCCAAAAGCCCAAAATATGCCAAGGTGCCAGAACGAGAAGCTGGCCAAACCAAATCGAGTTGTGACAGCCCACAAGAACACCTTCTTGCACATGCCAAGCGCTTCTAGATCATGCCGGGCTCGGGGGTTGTCATGTTCTGGCGCCCGGCCATAAAAATCGAAGGTTCGGCCCATCCAATGATGCCGAACGTCGCGACGGCATTGCAGAAGCCTTGGCCCATACTGGTCCAGGGGTGTAATTGGGCATGCAAGGGTGCGTAAGGCGGGTTTTAGCCGGGCCGAGCTTCGGGAAAACACCACATATCGTAGCAACCTGCGATCCGTCTTCCCGGTCATGTCGAGCCTGAATGGAAAGGGTTCGAAGGGACAAGGCTCCCCAACAAAGGATGTCACTCAGGAGCCGATGCGTACATGCTGTATCTATTTCCTCCTCGCAAACAGTCCGCCTGGAGTCTCCGGCACTGAAGATTCGCATGTAGATCCAGTTGAGGCTAATCTGGCGACAGGCTCAGTGACAATCGCTCCTAAAACCTAGAAAGCTGAAAGGAATCTAAGGGCCTCCGTCAGACCGGCAATCAGCCCACCACCAACGATGACCTGTCAAAGCAAACACATCGACCCTGAAAAAGAAGGGCCTTTTTGCATCTGCAGTTCGCGAACGCTGACGCATGCTGGAAGTAGTCTTGTTGCGGGCGACTCCAAAGGGAAAATGCCAACCTGCATGCGCTCCCATCCGCCCAGCCGTAGTACATACGTAACCTGCGCGGCAAAAGCCATCTCATGCTGACGGCCTCATGGCTCTTCAAACAGAAGCCACCTAATGCCAAGGTGCATAGTAAAATAACGTGGAGCCAATCGATGCCCCATAGGCTCCATTCCAGAACCTAAGGATCAGAATCCGGCATCGCGACATGACAGGGCTGAACCTCTCGCAAAATGGCAGATCTCCATTTTTCCAACCCGACCTTCTCCGGTGCCAGGACCCTATCACACACACACACAGAGCATCACCAGGCTAAGGCTTAAAGAAGAGCAGCTTCACTGCCATCAAATGCCGAAACGCCATGTTCGGCGGCCGGTGGTCCTGCAATAGGTCTGCAGGGTTTGGGGCCCAGGGCTTGGGGTCGAGGGTTTAGCTTTTGGCGCTACGTGCTTGCGGATAACAAGGCAACTTGCAGCCATACATTTTCAAGCGCCGACCAGAGCTTGAAAGTGCCGGAGCATTCTGAGAAGTACTTGCCATCGAAGATGACGAGAGACGAAGCCCACGCAAAAACAGGCCAGAGCCCATACAAGTGCTACTGCTGGTGTTTCCAGCCGGCCCCTGTGCACGACACATTGTTGTGGCCGTCAACCCTTCGTTGTCACCAGACTCCACGAGCCAAGGAAAGATCCAGCAGACAGAGGCCAGACGCATGAGAGCCCGGAGGCCACAAGATGCCAGAAGAGCCCAGGGACGAGCCATATTTCAACTAAAGATCTTGCAGAGGCAGCCGGGAGAGAGAAAAAAAAAGGGGGGGACAAGAGGAAAAGGCGGCTAGCCGCTGTAAGGAGACTGAACCCTGGAATATGGCGGGTGACGGGTGGGCATTCTTTCCTGCAAAGCCTGGTGCTTTGCCATACCTGCAAGGACCAGAGAGAACAACAGACAAACATCTGCCCGGTTAGACGTGGCCAACCTAATTTGTCGTATTCGGTCATCTCGATTGTTCAAGGATTCAAGGGTCACAAGCAAAAAAGGCAATCACCTAGGGAAACTCACACGCCCAAAAGCACAAGCAGTAGAGACCGCTTGCAAGTGGCCTTTCTTCTGCAACACCCGATGCGGGGCATTACCTGTATGGCATGAGCTCCAGCAGCCAAGTGCAATCACACATGAAGTGCGCGGAACTCACGTTTCTCAGCCAACGCGACACCTCCCGAAGGATCTGAAAGACGCTGCCGACTTCGCCAGTAGCGCTTTGAACATCTTGCACCTACAAAGACGAGCACATGGTCATGCATCCGCGTGTACGAACCCTCGGAGCAGCAACCGCCTCTGATGGCAATTCTGGCGATGGAGCTGCCACAGCATCCCGGAAGATCGGAACTGCCTCAACATTGGTGTGATCTTAACGGCGTCGTGTACTTGCAATACGGTACTGCTTCAATGCACGAGCCCGACCTCCAAACTGACCAAGCCAAACAGAAGAATATAGAACATGAACAGCAAGCGGTGTAGCATTGAAGCGTCCTGCAGAGCACAAGGTTCGGGGTTCTCAGCACGCAAGTCGGCAATACGCAGGTGGGGCATCAACAATCTGCTAGCTGCTAGCTGCTGCTTGGGATCCGCCATCAGCACCAAGACCGGAATGGCTCCACAACCACCACCCATCATCATCGTGTACTTGCATAGGCCTGCACATGCATCTCGGTCCAGCGTATCGGAATTCCAGCACAACTGGGCCAAACATTCGGAAGACTTCAGATTTCTGGGCCCAGGGTCTGTAGGGCTTGAAACTGCGGGGCATTGCCATCGTCAATTTTCATAGTTCTTCTCTGCAAAAATCTTGAAGAATTCCTGGAAACCACACAATGATTGTCTTGTAGGTTCCGGCGCTCTGCTCTGAGTCTTCCATGGTGGGCTGCAAGGCTTCAGGCCCACAGATCCCCCACGCAACCCACCCCCCCCCCCCCTACACCCTGCGCCCCCTAAACCCGAAACCTAATTCCGACACCGCATATCCAAAACCCAAAACCCGATACATTTCTACATCCACCCAAACCTTGGACTCCTTGGATCCGGGACCCGGCAACTGTAGGCTCAAGACCCGAAACCCTACATCGCCTAAATCGGAAACCCGAAGCCCCAGAATGCAAAACGCCCCCCCCCCCCCCCCCCCAATCCTTCACACCCCCCAACTACCTGCCATGACCCTTCGGCAACCTCCTGGCAACAAGCCAGAAACTTGGCACGGGCGCGCCTTCCACAACAATGCGCTCCTCCTTGAAGGGGTAAATCTCCTGACAACACGAAGAACCAACATCATGTAAGAAACTCGAGCTCGCGACTCGCAACAGGCCATAACAAAAAGACTGAGTACTCATGTCTTAGATTTTATGTACTTCTATGTGCCGACTGTCCGTGGGCAAGCGGCCTGACGCGCAGCTTCGAAGGCGATGACACAGGAAGAAGCACCCCAATAAGACAACATGAGCACAAGTACCTGGGGGTGTGGCAGCTCGGTTCCAGGAGAGTTGAAGTAGTGA